TTCAATATCCCCATGGTTTGGACAAGAACACACTCACGAACGTTAATGAGTTTGGAATCTCGTCACCAGGCCAACGGTTAAAATAGGAGCAAAAAGTAAAATACGCAGCGACGCCCCCCCTGCACGTCACACCCAACTGAATGCTGTGAGACAGTCTAGAGGGCCGTTGAGTGACTTGGCCGGTTGCTTTGTGTCACATGATCAAGGCAGACTCATTGTTCGTACGAAACGTTTTGACAGCACAGTACCGGGTTTCACATAAGTATAGCGACTGCCTCGGCTCTAGCCAAGCAACGTCGTTGAATAGATAATGGCAGTCTGTTTGGTACACGGTGAATGAATTCAAATGACTCATTTGGGATGAATGCACACCCGGTGTCAATTAGGTGGGATGCGATTGAGCTCCTGGCTGAACTGTTGAGGTTGGTGGTATTCCGCTAATAGGGGTGCTCGCGTATTCTCTTAGAAAGTTGCCGTGTCGTGGGCCCAACATACTCCGCTGAACAACAGCAGGAGAAAGAATACACAACCATATTCTGTGTGAGTAGTGGCATCTTGTCTTTGAGGTTTAAGTTGAGCAAAGGGTTGGTCGTAAACCAAGACCGCAGTGTTCCAGGCGGAAACGTGCCCTATAGCGATGGAGACAGGCGGCGATCGACCATATCCACCAACAGATTGACTTTATACGGTAAACCCAAGTATATTGGCTTCTTTCCAACGTTCGTGATAAGGCGATCGGACATAATCTTGGTTACAAATCTCTCGGGGTAACCATTGGCTCGGAGCACGTTAGCAATGGGCTGCAGTTCAAAGTCAGCTGTATCGGCAGAGCAAATACGTTTTGCTCGGTTCGTTAAAGTTTGAATCGGGGTTCGTTATCGCCTCAGTGGCAAAAAAACTCCGAAAGTTCGTGCACTATTCCGTCCACGTGGGCTCTCTGTAGACAGACCTCTGAATTGAACCCGTGGAGAGTCTGATTAACTTAACATGCAGAAAGAGTTTTCAGCAACTCTCTTTGAAATGAGAGAAATTTTCAATGCCATTTTATGCCCCATCGTTCTGGAAAGCGGTTGTGAACCGATGCTAAGGACTTTCGCACTGTCGGCTTCCGTTCTGATATTCTGACTGGACGTTTGAAGTACCAGTCTGCTGAGATAGTTTTCAATCTGCGCGAATTGTTTGCTTCTTTACGTTTCGCTTTCTTCTTCAACAACAGTGAAGTCCTGTCAAGAACACCGAGGTTTACAAGAAGCATTGGTGCCTCAGCGTTATTTAGCCAAAGAACTTATCCGTACCTACTGCCGTCTTGGGAAGGTCAAGAGGCTAACCAGTGGTCACAATCGGATGTCCATCAGAGACCATTTGAAGCCAACCTGGGCTCACAAATCTTGAACAAGGTAATGAAGAAAAGTTTCTCGACAAATACACCCATTTGCATGGTTCTGACGAACCATCATAAACGAGAGATGCAGCTGGGTTTCAGATGAGTCTCCTGTCAAAACCAAACTGCTAAGCAGATCAGTGTATTTGTCAAAATCTGTCCAACTGGGGTTCAAGTAGAACATAAGGTTGACGGAAACTCGGATACTGCACCTACCTGATGAGCCAGCCCGAGGCGAGACTGGTAGTGCTGTCGAAGAGTTTTCAGCAACCTTATGAGTAGTGTATGACATCTTATCCAGTCATGCTAATCCTTGATTTATCATCAAACAGACGTGGATGTTTCGGCTGGACACAGCAAATAGGTGCGCACAGGTGTGCCTGTTTCGGTAGTCCGTCTTGCCCAAAAACGGTCGATGATTAAAATCGAAGATCAAGATTTTGGGTGCATCCTTTCTGACACGGAACATTTCACTGAGTTCAGACGTCTATAAAAAGCAGACACCTCCAAGTATGATAATACTTCGCTGATTCGAGTGCATCGAATACTCGAATGACATTGAATAGTGGACTGGACGAGCGGTATGGTTAGACGACGGTTATGAAGTGTTTTTAAAGACACCTTGTTTACACTTTGTCTAGATGGGCTACCTTTCACTAGGTCGCTCAGTTACCTGGAGATTACCGTAAAGTTGATGTTGAACAGTTGACCTTGACTTTGAGCCAGTCCCACAGCATTACCAGGAAGTCACGCTATTGGTGAGTGACTGCTCAGAGGCAAAAATACCTCAGGGATCTATGCCAACGGCGAGCTCGGATCGTTGCTTTTCAAAGACGTACTTTTTGAGCAGCGTGAGGGCAAGACGGCTTTTGGCCTATAAAGGTTTCTGTTAGCATGTCGGGATTTGTGGAATATCTTACGGGGAACCGAAAGCTGCCATCCGTTCACGAAGCAGTACTCTTCACTTGGCACCTGATAAGGTTGTGAACGTGGAAGCATGTAACCTCTGCCGAATGGAACGGGCCTCACCGGAATCACGCGTCAGTGAGCCTCAACCCATCGCACGAATAACTACTGACTTGTCTCTTTTGATGGGGATCTCGCAGTACACACACACACACGACAAACTCGGAGAATAGAATACCGACCAACTGATCAACAAGTGTGTCCAAACCAGGACAGTTAACGGGTTGTGGGTGGAGGCGTCGGGGTGAACCAGTCGCATCGTTCGATTGATCACACGTACTGATTTAAGTGAGGATAGCGCGATCTAGTGGAGTGGTGGTACCATGCGGATCTCGTGTGGTAAGTGCCCAGATCACAAACCCCGACATGGCCAACGATTTGCGCTGTATATGAACTCTGATTAGAACAACGCATGGGTCGCTTCGGAGTGAGCAAACCGAAATAGGTTGGGACATTTCACGACAGAGCGTGAGTTCTATAAATTTCACAGCTACTCACAAGTAATTTCACTGTTCCTGGTCGTAGTTTTACACTAAGATCTGTTGGTGGATCCAACCGTACTGTTGCAGCAAGAAATGTTTTAACAGTCTGCAATTTTTGGTAGTGCGAACTTGTGTACATGTGAGAACATGCTTACATGAGAATAGGACTGACTGAGATAGAGGTTCCGCGTCACACTTTTGTAGAAGTTGGATGACGTGTGCGTTGAATGGACAAATCTTCAGTGTCCCCATGACAACGGCTCCAAAATGCTGCCATTGAAAGTAAGAAGGCCTTCGCTGCGGAGTTGTTTATCGGGGGAACACCAACTGAACAGTTAGAGGCCATTTGAGGGGAAGGCAAAACTCTCACATGCATCTTGTTTATAAAAACTAACTATCCTTCTTCTCCTGTCTTCCTGAACTTTCCTGGATTTTCACTGACTGTTGCTCAAATGCAAGCAAACGCGACTCCACGAATTCCGTAATAGATCCCACTTTTCAAGAGACGCGAAGCGGGTTTACGAGAAAACATACTACTCGCTTGCCTCATCAGCAGTATCCACTATTACGCCATGAAGCCAAGTTGTTCATTAACACTGTTCTTTTCCCGAAAGCATATGACAGCATAGAAGACGTACCGGGGTCTCTGAGTCTCTGGCATCAGACAGCCTCTAACCCGTTTGTCAGTAGACACTCCGTTTGGACTCATTTCTTGCGTATCTGTCAGCGGCACTTGATGGACAAAGTCTGTTCGGGAATATGGGCCGCAGCCAATTTAATTGAACAGGAATTAGTCGTGGAAATGAAAAGGTTATGGGAGACCGCCTCATCGCTTAATAGTGAGGCAGAGAAATACTAAAGTAGGATCCGAGGGGCCTAGGGCCACTTGGTAACGGGCACTGCAGAACCAAGAATGGGATATGGTTGTCACACAATGTTCCAATGAGACGATCCGAAAATGGATGTTTGAAGATACCGTCGGAAACAAACTTTAGACCGTCGTTCAGCATCAAATGACGCAGTCGTTTTAGGTGATCAATCGTCGACCAACAGTGGTGTTGTAGTGGAAGACTAAAATTTGACAGAAATTCCATTCCGCTGACTTTTTTTGAACGGACAGGCATGATTTAACAGCCTAGATAGTGTGATGTTACTCGAAGAGCTGCTTAAACGGCAATTCCGTGGTTCGAATTCGACCTCCGCCCCTTGACTTCCCCTGTCTGGGCTTAGGAAACCTGGCAGTATCCCAGTCCTCGTGCTTTTCCTTAGGTAGCACGGCAACTAGGCACCGGAAAGGTGTTACAGCTGAACGATTTTTTTATTGTCTATAATCAACGCATCACAAAACTTGAATTTTTCTTCAGTTCTGCAAAAATGGGGGCAATAGCTGCTGAGAATGTTTGTATGGCCACGGTTGTGTTTCCTCACCTTTGACGACAAGTTACTTTAGATTATTCAGTCACGTGACAGCTTGGGTGTGGTAGTCTCCCTATTCACGTCCTATTCACAACTGCCTACAACGTATTGATTTGTACTGCTCTCCTGGAATGCGCCCATGTGGAATCTCTGTTTCGGAATGCTTTGAACGGCGGTAGGATTTGTCCCACCCAAATGACTGGCAAAATTTTGGCAACGATGCAGGGGAAATCCTCAAGTTCTTTCGGCTCATCGTGGTTTCCCTGGACCGCTTTGAAATCAGCCAAATGCAGGATGTCAGTTGATTTTAACAAATCGAGCGCCATGTGATGTTCGGTGCGGGAAGTTTAAATTAAAAAAGAAGTGATGTGAAATAACACGACCTTGTAAGACGGTGCCACAATCGATCGGATCTGTTCATGATAGGCTAACAATCGACAAAGATTTTTATGAACGCTCGCTAGGGATAAGAGAGCAGAAACAATTCAGGTGACTTTTGTGAAGTGGTTCGTTGGAATAAATACTTAATACAAGTTGATTTGGAAACCGATCGTTACCCAGAAACTCTCAAGGTCAAAGATTCTTGGCTTGTGAATCCGCCGTGACTATAGCTAATGGAATTTCCGCCATCCTATGCTTTTATTCCATTACAAGTATAAGATTATTAGGCAAATGAAACTCATCGTGACATAGTTGAAGCGTTTAAACACGAGTATCGTTCAGAACCAAATGACTAGACATTCGAACAATCTCACCGGACCGAGCGCTTGCCACATTCTTCCTTCGAGGGATACTTGAAGTCCTTCGGGGTATACGAACTTCTGACTTGTCTGTTTTCTCTTGGGAGTTTGATTGGTTCTTTTGGGAAGCACCGCTTGATGGTCTTGACTGGTCACTTTGCCCCTCTTTGTCATTGGAAACGTTGAACTTTCTATTCAGATAAGCCTAAAAGTGCAAAAGCAATGGTGGAACCGTGGGTTTGAATCGTATTTTGAAATGTCACAAAACAAAAGTAGACACAGTCTTAAGGTTTTCGGAATACCTGGAAGGTGTAGAACGCCGGGTAAGATGAGAGAAAACTCAATGTTTGCCGAGTAGATGCCTTAGATAAGGGGACACATCATAGTTCATAACTAAAATAACAAAATCAAAGAAACCTCAAAGAATTTTCAGTAACCTTATGAGTACTGCATTAACGCTTATTCATTTATCGCGATATCTTGAATATCGTACCGACTGAAACATGAGACGGCCTGGTGCGGAATATTCAGTTGCCTGGAAACATCCCAAACGTGAGATTCAGATGGGTTCCAGGTGGGTGTCTCGCAAGACCAAAATTTGTTTTCAAATGAGTGTATTTCCCTTTAAAAAAAATCGAACCGTTCAACTGCGTTGTAATCTTGGTGCATACTGCCACGTATCAAAACAGAGCGACCAAGAAGGAAGCTGCTCAAATTCGCGACTTCGATAAACATATATTCAGGGGCTCTGATACGACTTTCACAAACGTTTTACAAATAACAGGTGGTTTTTACTTTGTCCCAACCCTTTAGATAGCATTCTGTGAAAAATCAAGTATTTCTGGCTTGCCAAATACGAGGATAAAACCGTAAAATTAAAAAAAAACAGATTAAAATGTCGCGTTCATTTAGATCTGGTTGAGCGGTGGTTGAAATAAACGACAGCAGTGCGTCTACAACTCAGTGGGTCTCACCGCCAAACTGCGGGCACGGATATTCAATGAACCAATGCGAGCTTTTGTCCTTCAGGTGCTGAATCGCCCAGAAACGCTGTTCAGCTGCCGCATTGGCAGCCACAAGAAATGCGTACTTCACGACACTATAGAGAATTTCGAACCTGCGAACTTCGGGTTAGTGATCGAACCACTCAAAATCTAGGCCCCGAGGGGCTGAGTATCATTGTGACTAGCTCGTACTTAGGGGAATACAGCGCCATATGCTTGTTCACACGCAAATAGCGCAAAGTTTATAAACCCTGACACCTACAATGTGACCCATATTCTCACGGCTATGGTGCAATACAGCTACAAAGCACCGTTTCAGAAGGGTCTGATAAACAAGCGGTAGTTTTTAATTGGTCAACGCTTCGCTTTTGACACAGAAGCTTCATCAGGCAAGTGAGCCACTACCAACAAACCTCAGCTGCGCTGGTCATTGCCATATTCCTCGAAGTGGACCCCGAAAGGGGCATACGAATAATTAAAGACATTGTCAGACATGGCCCAGTCGCGCCCTCAATGGCGCTCGTGAATCTAAACTATTGCTTTGAATGCATAACGCCCTTCTGACAGTCCAATGACAGTGCTGTATTTATGCACCAATTGATCAGCTCCCGCCTCCAATACGCAGCTACCTACTCCACCTCCCCAAATCATCGGTGAACGAAACTGTGGCATCTACAACCGCTGTACGACAAGTTCGCGGTTTTTACAGCTGACTATGATGATGATGATGATGATGATGATGATGATGATGATGATGATGATGATGATGATGATGATGATTATGATGATCATGATGTTGATGATGATTATGATTATGATGATGATGATGATTATGATGATGATGATGATGATGATGATGATGATGATTATGATGGTGATGATGATGGTGATGATGATGACGATGATGATGATTCGGATGATGATGATGATGATGATAATGAGCACGTCACCACGTTGGTCGGATCTTAAAGCAGACAGAGAATCAATCACTAAGACGTTATCAGATTAGCGTTCTAGATCCGTGTTGAATGTTAACGGTTCTTGTCGGTTAGTGTGCGTGCCAAAATCTTGCGTTGATAAGTTTGGTGAGTATCAAATTAGTTCCGATCGGCTTTGATTCCTTAATCTTCCCCTTCAGGGTGCTTCAATTGATGATTCACCTCGAACGCCACTGGTGGATTTTCTCTGGTCTTTGTGGGTTTGTGAGTGTTGCGACTACTTAGTTGGGGGAAGGGGAGATGGCCAACGTTAAGTGACCAACGTTAAGTGACCACTCCTCATCCTCCTCCTAATCGCGTTCTGATAATCGTGTTAGCTCGACTGACCCAAGATCGTTCTCCATACGCTTGCCAGTCCCACACCTTCTATTCTGTTAACGCTGGGACGCTTGGCAACTTTTACCAATTCGGCTATCAGTCTCTGTGACATGAACCGTATTGCTCGTATCAAAACCTCAGTCCCGTGTTCAGTGCGTGTCTCGCAATTGCCGAGTCTTTCATCTCCGTTTCTCGGTGGCCTGTTTATTCTTCTACTATGCTCTCCGATTTTTGTGCAAAGTTCCCTGACCATCTGTCCCATATGAACTCTAGTGCAGTCGTTACACTTAATTTTGCAGACACAGTCCCTGGTTCTGTTCGCCGGTAGGCGTTCCTTCAGTTGCACCAGTGCAGAGTGCAGAGTATTACCCTCCTGGAACACCAATCTTAAGTTAACCGTGTTTAGAATCCTGTGAATGGCCTTCGATGTCCCTGGTTTATATGGAATCACGGCAGTCCCACCCCATTCTCTGTTGGGTCTCACTACCGGTACCAGCACCCTTCGTAATTGACGCCTACTCAATCCACGCCTAATCCACGACCCCGAAGTTTGTTTTTTCTTTCAGTTTGGGCCGCTGTCCGATCAGCTTCTTCTGTGCACAGCGCCGTTATCCGCCTAAACATTGTTGGGGAAACCGACTTCGGATGGGTAGACGAGTAGTTCCTTATAGCCACAGTGTCTGTTGCCTTCTCGTACACTGTAGTCTTTAGTTCTCTGCCGACATTTTGTGTCATGCTGTCTGAAAAGGCCAGATTACTGGAAGTTGACTCTATCTCCATACAAAATTCGATTTGCGGATTCAGTTTATTCAGGCGGTTGCAAAACTCACTCAACTTGTCTCGTTTCATCAGTATGAAACTGTCATCTACATACCACCATAATATCTTGGGTGGGTACGGGGATCCGGGTAAAGCTCTCTGTTCGAATTTTTTCATAAATATATTTTCTAAAACCAGGAATATTGGAGGTCTCATTGCTAGATCTTGTTCTTGTGTGCCAACCACGGCACGGCTTCCAGTGGGTTCAGATGCACTAAAACATTCGGCTGAAAGCTTAAATCCAGTTAGCGAAATATACTCATTTGCAAAACAAATTTGGTTTTGTGACAGGCTCATCTAAACCCCTCGTTCGTGATGTTCTCAGCTGAATAAATGTACTGTTCCAGACCACCTCATGTTTCAGTTGGTGCGATATTCGAAATATCGCGATACATGTTTATAAGTAACGCACTACTTCTAAGGTTGCTGTAAGCTCTTTGACAGCCCAAGACCGGTTTCGCTCTTCTTTGGGCTCATCAGATAGGGTTTCCGTCAAACTTATGTTCTACTTGGAACCAAATTGCACGAAATCAGCGAAGTGCACACATTTGCAAACACGTTTGCTTTTGCGAGAGACTCAACTTGAACCCAGCTGAATCTCTAGTCTGTTATGTTCCCAGACAACTGAATTTGCTACATCTGGTTATCTTCCTGAGAAAAGCACGGGTTGATAACGTAAAGAATCAAGTTCTACTTGCATCGATCTATTGGCACAAGGAAGCATAACGATAGGGTGTGGCTTTTGGGCGGTCATTTCTGTGGACCAGCAACCCACCTAAAACTCTACTTTACAGCTAAACCTGAAGTTACGTAAATGATGAATCAGGTATGATCGTCAGGTAAAACAACGTGGCTGTTGAAAATGGTGCGTCACTTTAAACCTCGAAGCAAAATGAGTAGAAAAAATTAGAAAGGGCCTCGCTGCTGGTGTATAGCAAGCACTCTGAGATGACTTTATCCGCAAGCGCTGTTAATGGGGAAACAACTGGCGTTGACAGGCCGTCTTTTCTTGCAAAGCCTCTAATCCAACTCAGGAAAGGTCATGGGAAGACCGTCCTGGAAGGCAAACAACACAAAAGACTTATAAGCTCTTTCGCACCATTCTACCAGGTCACGCGTTCTCAACATCATGGTTTGTACCATTCTGAAGGAGGCACGGTGGACAAAAACTGTCTCGGTAAATGATGTTGAGCCACCGCAGATGATGTTGCTGAATGTCCAAAGACGGAGCTATCAAAAACAAACTCATCTTTGATATGGAAACCTCCAAATTACAACAGGGGGTTTGATAGTTAATTTGTTAATCTGTTAGAACGACAATCTCCGATCGCTCAAACAACAGACAAAACCTCAGGCAGTGCAAAGATTTAGTGATTTAGGTCAAAAGGTTTTTTTCCGACCGGATCATACAAGTCAAGTTATTGCAATAAGTGTTCAAAATCGTTACTGAACTGGTTACTTTCTGGTAAGTTTTACCTGAAAAATCATCTCTCTGCGCTGCTTTTCGAGTTCTCGCTTTCTCTCCCGCTGTTCCAGTTGATCCTTGGCATCCGAGGCTTTGTCGTTTGACGATGAATCAGTACCGTTGGTCGCCACTGTGCCCGAGGGTGACAACGCATTGGATGTAGAGGATGGGTGCGGCATTTCGGAGCACGGAATACTCCTTTTGTGAACCTAGATAAAAACACAGGTGAAACGGGCTTGATAAATTGCGTGATACTTCGTAAGTTGATTAAGACTTGAGATATTTTTTCGAGAAATACACTCATTTGCAAATCAATTTGGTTTTCACGAGAGACTCAACTGAATCTCTCTTTTATGATATTTTACCAGATTGATTTGCAAGTGAGTATATTTCACAAAAACAGTCCAATTGGGGTTCAAGTAGAACATGAGGTTGACGGAAACTCGGGGACTGCGCCTACCTGATGAGCCGTAAGAAGGACGCAACCGGTCTTGGGCTGTCGAAGAGTTTTCAGCAACCTTGTGAGTGGTTCCCTTGAGATATTTTTTTCCTAAAAAAGCTTATAAGGTGTATTTACACAGCTGTCAACGTCATACAGTGACTAGCCGTTCCACAGGTCAGGCAGGTGCCCAAAACAAAATTTTTGGGCTGGTAAATTTTACTCCGGTTGTGAAAAAGGTATCTGACCATGTCAGGACGCGCCAAGACATGGAAAAAGTGCATGCGTAGAGTGGCGCGTCCCCAAGGTCACCATCGGTACGACTCGTTCGGAAAGCGGGTGCGTTGGCGGAGCTCACCAAACACGGCTTAGCAACATGAGACCAATGGAGTGGGGCTGAAATTGTTCACGACCGCAATGCCGCCACTTGCTGTACAGAACGAACAAGTGAACGACCATATTTGGCCATTTAGTCATCCTCTGTATATATTTACACAGAATCTCTGTATGTTTTGTCCTGACAATACAGTCGTGTCCCAAGTTCTCTGTCTTCTCCTTATCGCCTAGTCTGGCAGGCTCAGTACCGGCGTAACCAACAGACGGCCACTCACGATACAAGGGACTAAATCAATCAGCGGTCGCAATCTTTCCATAAATCTTGACTGTGGAAGAAATATTGCCCCAATTTAACCGGGATTTCTTCTCACGGAGAAAACTACTTTTGATTTAGGGATGATCAAAGCCTTCCAGTAGCTCGGATGCGCTGATGGGTTGTTGGTCTGTTCGCCGAGCCTGGCAGTTGGATTGTAACCCTTTCATCACCAATCAAGGTGACAATGTCAGCGAGTGGGTCATCACTCAAGCCCGCACTGATGATCGGTGATGAAAAGTTTGCCATCCCATTACCAAGTTCAGCGAACAGACCAACAACCAACCTTTCGATGATAACTGAAGGGCGCCCGTTCAGATTCGTGGCATCAGACATCGAAAATCAACATATCGGAGGAGTGATAAACGACCTCAAATCTTTATGGGTTAACCTTCGGTCGGAGGGGTTCGCATACTCTTTGAGAACTGGAAATGCCGCAAGAAATGCTCATCTGTTACGTGTTTGAACTACTTCGGTTGGTAGCGGGTTCGATATCGAGACCACTTCCTGAGCACTTCGACACAGTTATTTTGAACTGTGTGGGCTACTTTGTGAGTCCAAGTTTCAAAATACAACTGCAGAATCAGTAGTGGGCATCGCCGAAGTCAATGAATTTATTCCAGGTCCTTGCCAGGAGTAGTTCAGTTATTAAATTCTTAGGGGGGTTCGGAGTTTGAATTCAGCTCAGAATTGAGTAAAATTTTGGTTCCATCCTGAATTTTGGGTGTATCAAGATGACACGAGATGGCCCAGTGGTCAGGGCGCGAATTTATCGATTGAAAACCCCGTGCTTTGGACCCAATTTCTTGATTTCGAATGCTCCTGTCTAGACTAGCGATATCTGAAACCTCATGCTTTCCCCATGAAACATGACACAGGATTGGCTTGCCGAACCCCGGGGCAGCTAACTTCAATCCAGCTAGTTCCAACGATCATTCATATCCTCAATGGCTGTCATTCATACACAGTGAAACAAAACTAAGGAAATTTAGCATAAACTTGCGTTGTTAGCATACTGAAATTCGGGGGATGAAGTCGGGGAATGGCGACAACTGTGAAACAGTGTCTAGGTCGAAAGTAAACAATGTGAGCCAGGTGCCCTGTTTCTGTTCTGCAGAGTCCCTGTCTGAAAATCGAACAAAAACTACAGAGAAAAAAGCTCTTCTGTCTCGTCGCACGTCCTGGTTGGTTCTCGCAAGCAAGGAACTTTTAATAAAACGTGACCTGTGATGAAGATCGAACCCAGATGGTTTGTACTACATCAAGTAAGCAATGTTATAGAGAGAGATTAGTCTTAGAATTCTAGGAACTGAGAGATGGCGCGACAGTATTCCTTCGAGGGAGACATCACACACTTAATTCCACTTGAGGGAGGGACCGTCTGTCTTTGCTGAAAACTTGTTTTTTCAAGTCGAACACAAGTTCAGTCAATCCAAAGCTTGCAGTAAACAAACTGTCCACTATGCACAAAGTAACCCCCTTTAGACAAGACATATTACTTACATCTTTGGGTGCGGCCTCAGCTGAGAAAGTTTTGGATGGCAGTATACCGTTTGGTGGCAGTTTGGTTAATTTGTTCCCGATTGCTTTGGACATTTTCGCGGACAACGTGGTTCGTGCATCAAGCAGCGTTCCGAAGCTTTGTTCGTCTTGGCTGTTCGAATGCTTCAGCGGCTGTTTCCTCGTGCGACTCAGTGCTCTTGGCAGCGTGTGTATGGGAACCGCAGGGCGACCGGAATCGAACGGAATGAAAAAGGATTGGATCCTTGAACCGTTGGATTCCTTTTGCTCGGGTTTGGAGTCCGGACTAACAGCTTCAACCTCTGCATTTGGGGAACTTGCCGGGATATCTGGTGGAATCTTTTCCGTCTTTATAGGTGGACTGGTATTCTGGAATTTAGATGCACAGGGGTCGAAATGTGGCTAGGCGTGGTGAGTAAGGCACGTGGACAAATAGAAACTGGAAGGCAAGCAATGTATACTGGACTTCTTGGAAAATAATGGATTATCTTCTATATAGACGAAGTACACTACTCATAAGGTTACTGAAAACCCTTCGACAACCAACGACCGGTTTTACCCATTTTGGGAACCACCGAGAAGGGAATCCGCTGTTCCCATAATGTTGTTTGGCTTCTGTTGATTACTTATCAAATCTCGTGGGGATGATGCATTCAAAGGTTGTAAGATCTGTAACATCATATAGCCCCCGTTCCTTCTGGAATCCCTTCTAATGAAGATCATCTTGGGTGTAAAGAAGTACAATAAAGGAATGCATCTTGTCATAACCTGGGAAAATCAAACCAACTAGGAGAAACTCCTTCTGTTCAGGTCATCGTGACCAGCCCACTGGGAATACGAATAGACTAAAACCGTTATCTGCCTTCCACCAACATATTCCTTTGTGGAGGTAGACATTATTCACTGAACTAGACTAGTGTCTTATTCAGGCAGTGTTTTCACTTGAGCGATGAAGGTACTTGGTAACTTAGAGAGACTTACTGATGTTGGTCCCTTGAGCGTTTGAATCTCGTCTACAGGCTTTTTTGTAATCAGACAAAATGTGATAGACAGACAGCTTCCACAGACCACATAAGTGTACGGGTGTCAACGTGTTTGCTCTTTAGAAATGACCGTTTTATGTCGGGCAGCCAGACAGTTGAGAGAGACTTACTGATGTTGGTCCCTTGAGCGTTTGAATCTCGTCCAGTGCTTCACTGGTTTGACACATCTGGTCCGTGGATGTGTTGGGAACCAATGGCGATACATTCTTGTTCTCCGTCGCCAGAAGCACTGAGTTGGTAAAACAGTAGTTGGATGGAATACCACAGCCGTTTGGTCCAGCAATCAATGTCGGAACGACAGAGGGACGATCCCATGTTGCTCGGGGATGATGGAATGGGGGGGCCGGGTTGTAAGCAAAAGCTGGTTGGACAAATTGACCCGGTGTTGATTCGACCGGGTAGAAAACCGGCACCATACAAGAATTACCACCAGCCGAGGGATGGAATGCATCTGGTGGGTACAAGTTGTAATGACTTATTTGAGATCGTGATCTTCGTGGGCCACGAAAGTGGCAAAGCTGTGCTGTCCTCGCTGACAGTGTGTCTGCCTCTCGAAGGATTTGATTACGGCTTCGTCTCCCAACCGGTGCGGATGCTCTGTGAGGTCGATGAACGTCTTGAAAAGCATCGTGATCATAACAATCCTGTTCACAGTCAGTATAGTCATCGGCCCGTTCATCAGGTTCCATTCTATCATTCAAAGAATCTGGAAGGTGATCTTGCGATCGTCCAACAGGTAGCCATCCGTGGTTTCCAGTTCCACCACCATTATATAGCTCCGAAGCACCCACAGTATCACCTGATAAACGACTGTTTGGTCGTGATAGTTTCGGTCTTGCTCTGGCGTGGTCACGTGTGCGGTTTACCGACTGGGCGACGGAAAACGGTTCATGATACGGATCCACACCTCTTCCTGGGACGTTATTTCGGTCTCCTGGTCTCCTGGTGACGACCGAAGATCTTGATCGAGATCTGTGACCATCTTGTGGTTCCTGCACAAAATTTAATAAATAGAAAATGAACACAACGGAGACAATGGTCAAAAGTGATTGAATTATGACTGAAAAATAGGCAAAATCCTTTTATAGTAATCATGCGTGCGAATGGACTTTGTGAGTTCAAGAAGATGTACTCAAAAGGGTCAACCTTGTCGACATTCAGGGCGAAACAGATCAGAATTTCGCAAGCACATTCACATGCTGATAGACTCCAAGTAGTTTCTTATTGTACCCGGCCAAAATTATTTATGGTATATGAACTTGACAGTAAGATACTTTTAAAGTCAACTTCGTTCATTGTTATCAGCTTGATGGTGGAAAGGACACCCTGTCCCACTGTGATCGCGACAGAAAACCCCCACTTCGGGCATCTAATTGTGTCACTGCGCAAAGCGTCCCCAAGGTCGTTGGTTATTTGTACACAACTGTTCTTCTAATTGGGATCTTCAACTGTACTACAAAGTCCAAAAGAAACTACGATCAAGCGAAGTACACTCATGTGCAAACCAATTTGGTTTTGCGAGAGATTCATCTGGAACCGGGCTGAATCTTTATAAGCAATTCGATGTAATTCCCCAGGCCATCTCATGTTTCAGTTCTCACGAAATTCGAGATATCGCGAGATACTTATGGAGGTGCTACACTACTCTTAAGGGAGATTCAACTGGGTTCCAGGTGAGTCTCTCACAAATGAGTGTACCACGCTGATTTCGTGCAATTCGTGTTCAAGTGGAACATAAAGTTGACGGAAACTCGGGGACTGCGCGCCTACCTGATGAGCCCTGAGAAGGACGAAGCCGGTTGTCGGCGGTCGAAGCATTTTCAGCGACCTTATAAGTAGTGTATTACGACTAAACAACGATCATCTTGTTATGCGAATAACTTCAAGTTTGATAAAGCGGCACAGAAGAAATCAATACAGCAACGTTTCAAACAGCAAGGCGGAGTCCAATCATGTTAGATGATAAATTATTCCAAAAACTGCCGGGTCACGATTATAGCTTCAATTGAGTGACAGATGCATTCTATAAACCGGGATCACGAAAAACGGCGATTTCTGCACTTTTTGCTAGTGGTCCAAGCTAAATTTCGAACGGAGAGAGAGATAGAGGGCATAAAGTTGTGATTGCCTTGCAGAACCGCAAGGTGGCGGGGTATTCTCAGCTCCTCTTGTGGTAAGTCCACTGAATACAAAACGGTCTGCTGTTTTCAATACGAACCAAGAGGCGGCCTATCAACCACTGATATCTGCCCTGCTCATACGACACAAGAATTTGTAAGAATCATTCCGTCCAGGTTTTCGTTCCCAATAAGAAAACGTCGAAGCGAGCAGAGTGTTACATCAATTTGTTAAGCGAACCTGAACATGTTAAAGCAAAATTTTCTAGCCGCTTTGTTTGAGTGAATCAATGTGCTGTCTACGTGATCCTCAGAGACACCATCGGTGGGATTCTGGTAATCGCCTTCAAAGGAGTTTTGTTTTCTCTTTGGCAGTGTTTTTTGTTTTCGAAAGAGGAATGTTCTTTCACAAGACTTGACGGAGTGAAGACTGTGAACAATGAGGTAACGACGCTTGTCCAACGCAGACCCAAGTCTGATGGTTATAACACAGACATGATGTTACATTTTAATGATGCCTCCATAAAAAGTATGTACGCTGCTAAATGCAGTTTATCGTACGACGTTCTCATCAGTCAGATTAAACAGCTAATGTTCGAAAACTGAAGCGTGGTCAAGATTGTCTTGAAACTCATGTGGAGGTGATTCCACGTGGGCATCTTCCACACCGTCAAGAACGTGATGGCGAATTTCACCAGAGAATCAGTAAATTTTGAGGCAACGGCTAAAATAGTACCCATTAGTATTTGTAAAAAAAATTCTGAATTTCTCAGTGTATTAGCCAGCTCCTGAAGGGAAAGTGTCTTCTATTCGCCGGCATTCGCATTTAACTTGCAGACATTTTCAAAGCGGACGAAGAGCTGTCGACAGTGCTCAGCCAGTCGATGGTCAAACCAAACGCTGTTTAGATGCCATTAGCCCTATCACTGTCAGTTTTGACTGGGGAAACATCTAACCTGCGGTTTTAAATCACTCTGGAGCTTCTCATGCTGCGATGGCTAATGAATGGAAGTGTTACGAATGCAGGAACCTGGTTCCCCAGGGGTTAAAGCTGGTAAAAGTTTGGCAAAAAAGCCACATGGCGGCCAGGCTTTTAGGCCAGAGGTTCCATATTGTCCGAATAGACTCATTTGCAAACCAATTAGGCTTTGCGAGAGACTCATCTGGGACACGGCTGAATCCCGCGTTTATGGTGTTTCCAAGCTATTGAATGTGCTGCACCAGGCCGCCCCATGTTTCGGTTGGTACAATATTCGAGATATCGCGATGCATATGTAGTACGCTACTCATAAGGTTGCTGAAAATTGTTCGACAGCCCACAACTAGTTTTACTTTTCTTGGGGTGACCTTTTGTTCCACTTGAATCCGGATGCCACGAAATTTGAGTTATACGATCATCGTAAACAAGAGATTCATCTAGGTAACAGGTGAGTCTCCCGTCGAAACCAAATTGGTATGCAGATGAGCGTAGCTCATTAATTTCTCCATTTGTTTTTCATTTTGCCCTCATCATTCCTAGTCTTTGGATTATCGCGCAATGAGTCTGGTCTTCACAAGTGAATCTGTTGGGCACAATTCAATCTGCTTGCTACCGTGGGAATCCACAGTTCGATCAATTCGTACCGAAAAGCCTCGTACACCCGTTTCCTGTTAGTTCGCGGTATGTAACGCCCCGTGAACCTCTGGGGCGATTAGAGCGGATAGCATCACTCAGCCACGAGTGTGATTAGGCAGCAGTTGGAAAATGTTTCATTCTCAGAAGATGCTTTTTGGGTTATCGACGGTGGGAAGATCTCAAAATTTTATCCAAAAATCTCCGTTGCGTTTGAGCCAACCTATGCTGCGGCGTTGAGCAGAGGACAGTGCACTCATCCATTGAATGCCATTTCAACCGTAAGCGTCAGGGCGACAAGGCAGGGCCCGGGGTCCCCTCCAATCGCCCTTCTTTGGGTTGGAGTTAGAAATTTGCTTTGCCGATTTCTTCGGTCACTGTTCTTTCGAATCAGGCGGTGAACTAAAACCGACAAGGGGGTTCGGGCTTTCTGTTCAAGCATGACGTGCAAGCATGTACGTGCCGTATAGCAGTAGAAATTGAGTAGTAAGTAATAAGTAGTATATAAAAAACAGATATTCTGAACGACCCATACACTTAAATTCATCCTGTCCTTCTCTTAATATCCGCTATCAGTCATGTTCATCCACAATCTTCGTGCTACAGTGCGGCTGTTTTGATTTTTTCTAACCGACTGATTTTCTGAAACCGATCATTCTGCAAAACAGACTGACGAGAATGCCAAAATTGTCAGCTGCATTCCATTCATACCAGGGAGTGGTTGCGTTGGCATAGTTATACGTTTTCTGTTCGAATGAACTATGTTCGAAGGTCGGGGCCTTAAATACTTCAACAAACCGTTCTTGATGGCTCATGTCAATGCCAGAATTCAAGCTTACTTTGAAAGCGATCGCCCGCAGACCAGGCAAAATGACGCAGTAATTCTTGGTATATTTCCACCTTGAGAAACTGGGCACAGTGTGAAACGAGATCCGTGGCCGTAAGGAAAACAAACGGTCAGCTCATAAGGAGGGAGTTGGTTCACATGACCAACAGTGTCCCCGACCGGGTGGCGAACGTAGCACCCTTACAACTATTGCGTGATTGGGCGTAAACTGTTGCGAGGAGGAAAGCTTCAAGCATTCAAGGTCACATTGTGAGTAGGCTGGTTGTCCGATAAGGTCACCCGGACGCCTTTACCTAAATAAACAGGTGGTTGGCTAGCAGGTTATCAATGATATTGCAAACAACTTTATTTTTGTGAGATACTCACCTGGAGCCCAGCTGAATCTCCGTTATGAGAAGTGTATCACCTCTGTCGCGATATCTCGAATATCGTAGCAACTGAAACATGAGGCGGTCTGGTGCAGCACATTCAGTGGCATAGAAACATCACAAACGAGAGATCCAGATACGTTTCAGGTGAGTCTCTCGCAAAACCAAATTTGTTTGCAAATGATTGTATTACGCTAATTTCGTGCTTTTTGTTGACGGTTTAGTGAAACTCAGGGACTGCGCCTACCTGATGAGCCCAAGAAGGGCGAAACCGATCGTAGGCTTTCGAAGTATTTTCAGCAACCTTATGAGTAACGCATTGTGAGATTGCATCGTAAAACTACGCAGTTGTTTCGACAACTCTTTTTGAACTGTACTAGGATTTGACAGCTGCGTAGTGTCAGGCATTTGATGAATAGCCTTTCAGAAACAGATCGACCAGGATCTTTACCGCATTAAAATTTTTGCACAGCACTGAACAACGTTTGGAACAGCTCGTTTAGTTGATGAAGCGTCCCAATAAACATTAAATTCAGTTGAGACCTTCTCCTGTTAGTGAATCTGATCGGTGCTGAAAAGTAGAGAAACTCTGTGCATAGTTTCCATCCTTATCTGGTTTCTGGACAGTACGCATCCGACATCCCAGTTAGTCGTTTGAACATCTGGCCACGAGCGGCTGATCAATGAGCAATGGGGATGCGTAGTACTTCTTTACCTTTCGGCATAGACTGGCTTCCTTTGCAAGACAAAATTTCAATTGAAAATGCCAAATTATCCCCAAAACAAAACTAACCTTATATGTGTTTATATGCACATACATCCAAGTTTGTACTCAGGTATGGAATAAGATCGATGAAAATCTGTAGACTCATGCCAAACGACGCACACAAGCTTGGTACGATCGTTATGCAAGGGTGTGCAAGACTTTTAAACAAATTCATAAGCGATATTGCATACGGGCTGCAGCGAACGCTTTGGTCAGGATAAACCACTAAGCTTGATTTGATGCTTCGTGTAAACATGACGTGATTAAAGCATCACCCTTCCGGACGTTCAGTGCTTATAAAAACCATCGTCGACCATCGTTATCAGCTGTAATAAGCGCATACTTGTCGTACAGTGGTTGTAGCTGCCACAATTTCGTCCAACGATGATTCGGGGAGTTGTCTTGGGTAGGTGCGCTCAACTGCTCTTCTACGCTTTACTTTTCACCAAAAGATTGTTTAAATTGGCCGGCATCTCATCTGTTGGATTCCACTGCTGGCTCAGTATCCTCTGATCCCGTGACGATGACCCCAGATTCTCTGGACGAGTCCGCAGATCGCTTTCTCCGTGGACTGGCAATGGCGAATTTGTTGGCGTTGGCATTCCATTTTTATCGATTAGACCAAGCTCCAGCTGAAGGTAATAATCACGTCACAAAATGAAGTCTGGTAATTTCTTGTTTCGATGTATAAGGTTGGCGAAATCTGTGGCTCTTGTCCGACCTTTTCTAACTGAGTCCGAATGTGAATGCCCCCCAGCTGTTGGTCCCTGGCTTTGCCAGTTGCCGAATACATTCGAATTAAAATACGTACCAACCACATACGCATCATCGTTCAAATTTTTCACGTTTTCGTTTTTGAAATAAAGACTCAATAATGAGTAATATAATAATGGTTCTGATGTAGCTCCCTTTCGATGTCAAGCTGCCACGTCATCCGAAAGAAGCACAAGGGCTGGGATACTGCCAGAATGCCCAACCCTAGACAGGACAAGTCAAGATGCAGAGGTCGGGTTCGAACCACAGACCTTCCGGTCGGTAAATTCGTGCTCTAGCCAATGAGCGGTCTCGCCTCCTGAAGATTGAACTAGGCTGTAACAAGGATTCTAAGAGATGACTGCTGTTCACGTAGCCGCCTGATATTATTTTAGTCAGAAAATGTGGCTGATAACTTAAACGCACGATTGGGGCGGCTATCTCGGATTCCCATCAGGTAATATAAATGATGTTCTCCGTAAAAGCTGCGATGATCAGAGGCTCATCTTTGTGAACTCATCAACATCAGCTGTTAGAACCGCGTACTTGTCGTACAGTGGGGTTAGGTCCCACAGTTTCGTCCATCGATGAACTGGGAAGATGGGGTAGGTGGCTGCGCATTGGACGTGGGAGCTAATAAATTGGTGCGTAAATACAGCACTGTCAGTGGACTTTTAAGTGGGGGATTGGAGAGGTAGCTACTCTAGAAAGCCAAGAATCCTTCCAACTACAGGATGAATCTTCGCTTCAAATGAATTTTTTGCACCGGTGCATAACATTATCCGTTAGAAGGCAGGTTTTAGTGGAAATTACTTACCAAAATTTTGTCGGAATAAACAAACGGCTTCGGGTTTTTGAAGAACATTCGCTGCAGAGGATCATGGCTGACAAAAAGGGGAAAATCATACAGTGAATGGGAGCGCGTTTGAATAAAACTGATTCCTATTTTGTTACGACATTGCTGTATATTCAGAGGTTGGAAAGGGCCACAAACAGTGCCAACTAAGGATTTGCATGCTAAAACGATATCCCCTTAACTGATCACTAAAACTGAGAGTCAGGAGTCCCTGGGGGTATTTTTGTTGTCTCAGATATCTCACCTTCATCGGACCACGGAAAAAGCTCCTACAAACTGAAAGCCGTTGAGCGTCGCTTCTCCGATGATCCATCTGATGTAAACGCTTTAATGACCAGACCAACATATGGTCTGAACTGCTGCAGTTGACGACCATAGTCACGTACACGCCACACATGCATGAACCATATGAAAGTTCAGATGCGATCTAAAACGACGCCGACGAGCGGAGAGAGCCTGATTGTTTTTTGCAAACAGTTGCTGTCCTATTTCACTGCGTTATATAAAACACACGCTCACACACCAAGAGTGTCATCGTCTTCCAAGTTCCATCCACCTTACCCCCGCTTACGTGAGCCCCAACGCTCCAGCACTTTAAATGCACGCGTGAGTAAGCAATGACATGGTCCATTCAGAAAGTGTGACGCCAGCGCCCAAGCAAGTGTGTGCGTGAGTAAACTCCGTCCCAAGAGGAACCGTAATCCCTCGGTGTCATCAGCAATTTTCGATCTTGAAGACAGTCCTGGGTGCAATGGCTAAACCGGCAAGCATTGTGTTGTAATTGCCGTCTTGTGCATCGTTACCCCTCTTCAAATACAATTACTGAATATGGTACGAAACGAAAACCAGTAAAGATTCCCAATCTAAAACTGTAATTCATTATATCACACACGTAAGGAGTAAGAGTACAGATTAGTTCGTAGAAAACATCTGTGGGCCAAGTAAACTGAGAATAATATCGATTGTTCGGAATAGTTTATACATTCCGAGTTTCTGTAACGATTAGGTTTGTCGCCAAAAGGTAACGAAGTTCCCTATCTTCTGCGGCGGAAAATTTTTGGCACGTGAAAATCTAATCTTCTCGGGGGTATTCCTTGTTTGGAGGGACGGTACTCGCTGTGTGGGCAGGTGAAGTCCGAGGTGTTTTCCCCATGCCGAAATCTGCTTGCCTATGCACTAACCAGCCCTTCTTACACTTTTGCTTCAACCAAACATGACCTTCAAGACAACATACTTCCCCAAACTGAAATCTGCCAAGTGAAGTACACCTCAGAGTAATCATAAGATCAAATGAAAATCTCGCTAAAGATCCTAGAAGATCACAGAAAATTCATCCTTTGGATAACACAACTGAAAAGTTTTCGTGTCGTCTGAAGGGTCTTATTAGAACGGAGGGGCATGCGTTTTTCCGTTATATGGTACGGCGCACTGAAATCGATTTTTAGGAAACAGAACATTGGAAATTCAATCAGGACTCATAAAACGACAGATTTTGTAGTCTCTTGGTTAGGATCCAGTTGCTACAAAGCACCAGTTCGCTTTTAAGGCCATTTTTTATAACGAACTCGGAAAACGGACCCAAGCTGCACTCCGCGGTGAAAAATTAGCTTTTTACGTTTTCCAGTGATGTCCGGTCTTAGGTTACCTCCACCATCAGGGTGACAAACCAATGTGCTTTGCAGTATGGCACTCAAAGCCAAATGTAACTGGGGTAGTACTTTATACAACAATATGTAAACTGTCTTATTGTTTCCGTGTTCAAGTCTTTTGAAGTTCAAGGCGAATGAGGAGGGTTTCGAGATTTTCACAAGGAGCATGCACTTACTAGTCCACCCTAGAAGTGAGTTTATGTCTGAAAAACAATAAATCAGAGCGATACTTGGAGAATACGGGGTGTACTCTTTCAAGCCCATCCAATCACTTCTGTAGTCACACTGGAAGTTCAACAGTGAGGAGTAGAGTGTGTGGCCGTTGGCTTGTTCGCTAAGCAGGGTGATTTGATTGTAAACGTTTCATCACCAATCGAGGTGACATCATCAGTGCGTTATTGGGGAGCGTAGTAGTGCGTAACGCTACGCAATCAAATTGCCCAGGTCAGTGAATAAGCCAACGAACATCTACGCCACTTGAGCTACCAACAATTTTCTCTATGGAAAAGCAGAGAATGTATCGCGTTTTGTTGATCCCCAGGTAAAAATTAAAGTGTACAAGTTGCATTCAGGGATGTCTAAGACTCATCCAAACATGATCTAGGCTAGATAATTCATCGTTTACTTTTTACGCTTTTGTAGAATGTTTCAAGGTCAACTCAGGAGTAAACATGGTTTGACTTGTCAGCCTAACGAAAGCCTGAGCAGTGCTCACTCGCGGAACCAGTCAATAACGTGTGACCATGAGATGTGGATATCATGACTGAATCACGAGTGGTGCTAGATCCTGCCAGTTAATCGCCCATCAATCGATAGGGCCGAATGATCAAGTGAGTAGCTGGGAGATCGCAAATTCAAAGCTCTCTCTGCCCTGCCGATTATTCCCGATAGAACTGAAACAATTGTTCACTGGTTCTCTGCTATTCAGCATAGACACGCATCAATTAAAGAACGAAATCTCCAATGCAGACGCCTCAAGAACATTGCTGCCTGACCTATAACGTTGAATCTTTTGGATGTACATCGAACTGTGCAAACTGGGGTTCAAATTACTTCTGATTTAACGGTGCGTGGCGTCCGAATCAAGAACTCACAGCCAGGTCGCCCACTGAGACCAGGGTTATCTACAGTTCTGCAGCCCTATATTTCACGATCCATTCAGAGTTCTTGCTTTTAGCAAGTATAGTTTAGTTCACGTTAGAGTGTATAGAGTTGTACTGACCGTTTATATTCACAAACATTGTGGAGTCTGGACGTTTATTTACAAGCAGTCGATACACAGACCGCTTCCTTTAGTCCAAGAAATCGTTCCTACCACTGATGAACTAAGACAAAATGCCTCCACGCGGGTGTTGAATGGGTTCCACTCACTTTGGTTCGTGGGATGCTTTCGTACTACATCGATTTCCGTTGTCCTGACGCCTGGTTTCCCCCGACAGCGCAGCGGATTTACCGCTTTGAGCAGGTGGAAGATACACTCCACCTTCGGTAGATTGAATAAGACAGCTTGTAGAAAGCTCATCTAACCGGTTTTGAAGCGATTCTGCATTGAAATGTTCTGTTCTCACATGACTGTCAGGTACAATTTGTCCTCCACTTGGACTGTTCAACTCATCAGAGATGGTTGTGCTGTCCAGACGATATGTCCCTCGTCCTCCGGCTGAAGAATAACTGGGGTCGCTTCCTGGCGGACTTCGTCTATCCATACCATTTGGGACTTCCAATGTCCGCTTGTTTTCTTCGAATAGATGGTTCTCGCTCCGCGCCCCTGCTTGTTCCGGAGATCTTTTGGCTTCAGGACCTGGAACAAGAGAGAAGCCATGTATAAGGAATACAGTCATGTCAAGCCTATTCTGGTAAAGCTTCAATTAAGCCAAGTAACCTCCCACATTGAACGCCATCCCAGAGGTGACGTCTTATGCCAACTTCAGTGAATGCGGAACCAATTAGAACTGACCCTTGAATTCTAGGTACTGCGGCTTCATTGCAAGTTTCTTGAACGAAATAAAGTAGTCTAGGTCGCATATCGTCACAAATTGCGGTCTTCCTCATATACGTTCACTAGACAAAATTTGTGAACAAGTGAACAACTCGATGCATTGGTAAGCAAACAGTTTTGCTGTGTTTTTCGGTGTCAGATGAGTTAATCAATGCCTTGATCGATGGTTGAGGATACGCTGCACGATAAATCATTACTATGGGCTAGGGATAGATTCGTGGTTCGAACCCACTCGACTGCTCCTGTCTAGGCTTGGACAACCTAGCAGTATCCCAGCGCTCGTGCCTCCTTCCGTTGGCATGGTAGCTAGGCAACAAAGGAATGCTACAGTCGAACGATGTTGCTCTTGGCAGTGACATTCTCAAGAACAGGACGTGGCTCTTAGATGAGATCATGGTGCATAGCGAGTTACGATGGTACGTATGATATCATTCACCTCTAACAGCTTGTGCAATGGAATGCTAACCGGTAGTATAAAGAGAGCCTCCAAGTGAGTACCAGCTAGATCAAGAGTTTCTTGTGACAACTACCGTACTGAAGCACAGATGACGCTTATTCTGTTTTTCCTGATGTGGAGTGATCACAGATACCAGTGAACCTTGCTTGATGTTGACGTTTTATGAACATTGGCTAGTGTTAGATTAGGCTAGCACCTCCTAAAGGATTACGACGCTAGAAGTTACAGTTCAGAAGCAGTTTTCTTAGGAATCTGGTGAGGCTTCCCCTTATTACTTCCTGAGGCTAAACTTTTTGTTGGCCGAAGCCGTGTCACAAGCCAGTATAAACGGCTATTGTACGGAAACCAATCGCGCGGGAAGTGCTTAAATCACGTGATTAATCGATTCGCGAATTGATTTTAGGGTTTTGCGGGATAGGTATTTTTGTTCATAGTCACACCACTCACGTTTGAACGGTCGTGTTCCTGTTCTGGTGTAATTATTCCGGTGAGTCCACACCAAATGGGGGAAGCATTGGACCCGAGTTACTGGGTCGTCGTTCGATGAGTCGGGCACACCAATCACATCGCTCAAGTGTGAACACGTTCGCCTGTTCAGACGTGATAATTCAGATGCGTCCAACGTGCGTTGGTGGAGTAGTGGTTACACGCTCGCCTCGTGTCAGATGTCCGGGGTTCGAATCCCGACACGGCCATTGGCAGTGCACTGCTGATGAGCTCTAATAAGAGCAAGACTCGAGTCCAGTGCTTCCCCCATTTGGTGTGGACTCACCGGAATAATTACGCCAGAACAAGAACACGGCCGTTCAAACCAGAGTGGTGTGACTATGAACAAGAACTGATTTTACTCATTCAATTCTTCAAAGTGGTACTCACTTGTCTTATCAATTATCGTGTGAATCTAACCTAACGACGGACATGGTTCAGTTCTACTCAAAGTGTCCAGTTTGGAAATTGTACGGAAAGTTTAATCACAGTCCGTGCGGAGAGGATGAAAGGAAAAAGTGTTGTAAACGATTTCAAAGTCATTGAAACCCAGCGTTGGAAAATAAACAGTTGGAGCGGAACAATTACAGAGAAGAGTTTATTGTTTTTTTTTAAGAAATATTCTTGGTTTTGGTGCAACTTTTCTAGAGATAACTAATCCAATCCCGGACTCGAGTTCCCACTGAACGGACAGAAAAAAATGGAACAACGACCTCTATTCAGGGAAGAATTTTGAAGTTTTCGCTGGTTAGAATAGAACAGAGTTACAGCCCCACTGCGTGCACACTAGTATCAGTTTGAATTGACATTCCTTTTGCTATGTTGTGACCAGGAAGCTCCAGAATGAGGTGCTTGAATCTATCTGGAGAATACAGCAGTAAAGATTGTAGAATAAAAAGCCCCCACGGAAAAACCACAGAACCTATGATATGGATCTAGAACATCCATATTTGAAAACAACGAAAGAAATCTCACATAGGCAAACTCATTTTGACGCCACGACCTTCTCAGCTACAAATGATGATGAGCACGGGGGCACAAAAGTCCACGAACAATCACGAACGAACTGTAGGACAACCTAGGTTTACCCGGCCGGTGCATCTTCAACCCGACCGGGATAGCGGCAATTCATAAATCGCTTGGACTAAACGTTGTAGATATATAATCTAAAATCACGCTCTCTATATCTGCGCCTGACTGTCTCTTAACTTACATCAGGTGCACGACGACCCTGGTCACGTGAGAGGATAAACCCCAAGGTTCTAAACCTCTGTACAAAATTGGTGCAATGCTTCCTCAAAGAAATACCATTTACTTTGTAATTTCCACTTTATACATCTTGTGTAATTCGTACTGAAACTACTTTATCTCTCTATCATCCCATTAGGATGTCCCAGTTTTGTCTGATTGGCTTGGTTTAGTCTGGTCTATAGGTGAAACTAACCTAGGTGGATGGTAAGAATGGCCACTGGACTGGACGTGGTAACAATCAGAATGGAGATGCAACTGAAGGCAGAATTAGAACTCGTCAGGTGTTCGGCAACCAAACGTCTTGTTATATTCAGGTTTTAGCACCTCATACGTTTCATTGGGACGTTACCTTTGTACTCGAATATGAACGCGGAAATTTCCCATCACAGTTCGGGGGTAACATTCTTGCACACACCTTCAGACTACAATCACTAATTTGAAAATATTAAGGGATAGTTCATATTCGTCATTTGAGCTGCAATCACTGACCAAAGGGTCCATATTTTGAGCCCACCTTCTGCATCTCCACTGCTCCTTTCTAGGCTTAGATAAACTGGCAGTATGCCAGCCATCATTTTTCCTTCAGCTGGCTTGGTAGCCAGGCCCAGGAAGGGAGTTACGGCTGGAGAAGTATTTTACTACATCGCCATTACTGTAGTAATAATATCGCTTCAAGTATTACCCATAACACATACGTTTGTTCGCGGAAACATCGCGGGTAAAGATGCCGTTTTGAAGAGTTTGAGGCTGGTTTACAAGGCAACAAGCTGCGCTGAATGGTATTCGTTATGACATCTGTTCAACTAGATCTTTATTGCGCAGTGCTTTGCAGTTTTTCAATGATTTTACAGAAAACAACGCATTCTCTTGTAATCTTTCTTCTAACTCGGAAGAACTCGGTGGAACGAAAGGTTCGAGGCGGCTCCTGTTAAGTGTTGGGCACCTCGGGGGGGGGCTCTTGAGTTTGCTTCAAGTATCGCAAGAGCGAGTCGTTGGAAGTAAGTTGGAGACGACAGACCAAAAAAATTTAATGTTGTTTCGAGAATATTTTTCCCGTGTTTCCGGGATTCTATCTGCAAATTTGGACCGTTTTGGAAGGCGTTTTTAAGCACCCTTGTTGCAACCGAACCATGCATATCTGTGCTGTAAATGGGAACACCTGCAATGCAATCAGTTAGTGCTCGTGTCGCCTCGCAAGTGAGGTTATTCTACCCAAAGCATTCTCCCCGTATTAGGGATATCATATCAAGACATTTTGGGACGGTGTGGATTCATCCTGTAATTAGAACATAAGCTTGCAATCAGGTTTCCCCGAGAAACCAGGGCCAGAAATCTGATGAGGCCACGTGACAGGTTGAAACCTATGACTGCGTCTAGGACTAGGAAACCGTATCCAAGGCTGTCGTGACAACAACTTTTTTTCCGTCTATTTACCCAGTGGGCATTTGGAGAACCAGCTCCGAACGTAACGGGACTACATAACAGCCAATGGAATAACCGTTTTTCCGTCGAGACAGATTTCATTGGTTGTTCTTCACGCGCCCTTGACAGATGAGTTGTATTCTTAGTATCGCTGTTTTTTGACCCGCTCGTACGAGACAGTGATCAATAGAGCAGCTGGCTCGCACGTTCGTTGACTTTTTCTGGTTTGGCCAAGCGCAGCAGGCGATCGATCTGCTAGCCAGACCGGGGTTCACGATAATAAGAAGGCATTAAGGAGACTGCGGTCCACAGCGGCAACCTAGCAGTATCCCAACCCTCGCGCTTCTTCCGGGTTGAATGGTATTCACTAATCAGAGGGCTGCTACATCAGAAGAGTCTTCAGGTCACTCTTGCCTGCGTGAGAACTTCCTTGTGTCCTGGAGCGACTACTCAGAAGATTCCATATCAAGAGCGAGGAAGCACGGCACTTGAGTTCTGATTTTGTTAGAGTCATTGCCGGAGTTCGAACTCCGGACGTGTGAATGTGATTCCACTACCCCACAAACGCACGCTGGACACAGCGGACTTACCACTTCCAAACGAAAGTAAATGTTCACGCGGTGCAGTCCAGCCACTGTTTCATTTACGTATAGGTTTCCTTCTCAAATAGGTAAGCAGAATACTGGCCGTGTAGACAGTTACTCGTCGTCATGGAAGATTGAAGCGCATGGAAGCGCAACACACCCGACAGTTTGTTTAACTTACTGGGATGAAGGGAAGGGCTCAAGCTTATTGACATTCGTGGACCCCCTAGGGTGTTTCTGACGTTTCAACTTGGTCGGGACGTTGTATCAACTAACCCCGAAGTGTTAGCTCACTGAGCGGAATTCACGTCACTGCGCTACCATGTTTCAACAGAGAACAGGCTGTGGAATACACCATGTGGAAAGAATGACGCCAGTCAGTGTAGACTGGAAGTCTAGTTTCGTCAGTTTTACCTCCAGGGCGTCCACCCTTTTCAGAGACTCCACTACTCATATGGAGTGAACTACTCAAAGACAACAGAAGACCTAGAGTATGCGGCATGACAGTTTTGCCAGAGCTTAAGACATGCTGACCTCTTCTGACTGATAGTCACTTTTTCAGGCGCGCTGATTCCTTGGTTATTTGATACAAGTCTTGTGTCAGCACTGTTGTGGAATGTAGGTAGCTCGGGTGCGCTGTTTGGTTGTTGGTCTGTTCGCCGAGCTTGGCAGTTGGAGTGCAGACGTTTCATCACCAATCGAGGTGACATCGTCAGTGAAGGGTTGAGTGGATGAATGAGACCCACTCATCCAGTGGGACTTGTTTACTGTCAAAGTTTGGCCACAGCAATTATCCCAAACAAGCCGAATCTGTAGAGGCCGTTAGTACAGCGTTACCGCTCACGTGACCTGACCACGTGACCATCGGTCACAGGCTCTGAGTTTTTACATTCTGGTATTTTCTTTCATGAACTCCTTCAGTTTGGGAGACAACGTCCCTTTCGTTTTCATTATTCAGCATATTCCATGCTTGGGTTTTTTCCAATTTAGAAAAAAATCATAGCAAACCAACAGGTGATACACTAGAACCAGTCGCATGTTGATGGGAAAAGGCTAACGGTCGCTAGGATAGTCACTACAATGTCGATCGCCATGGTAACACATTTATTTGGGAGCAGACTAACGTTCGTCCAAGTACAACCGGGTATAGGTTCTCTTACGATCTCTTGAAAGTCCAAGAACTGTAAGCGATCATCGACAAAATTCAGCCACGTTTTCATCATCAGTCTACCAATCGCTAATCACCGATGAAAACTAAAGTACGTTGAGGACTTGAGATTTGGACTTGCTGCGAGCGTCCGAAATTCAATTTAGGACAACCAACGTCAGTAAACAGTAGTTCATTGTAAAACCTTGTACTATAACAAAAGTCGATGAACAGAGTAATAAAATCGATGATTGTTCTATAGAGTTACTAATCTAAATGCCCCAGTGGCAGGGTTTTAAATTGGGCTGCTCGCCAACATTCGATCTGCTGTTTGGTCACGTGCCCTATAATCAATACGCAAATTCACACGATTGCCCACTGGGAAAGTTAAGATCAACCGTCCTGTGGAAGGAATTGCGTGACATCCGACATCTGCGTTTGTGGGAAGGGATCTCTTGTTAAAAATGGTCTCCACTCCACAGATGGAGATGACCTTAGGTTGAAAAGTGAACAAGCAAGTCAGATCAAGCGGAAACGGTTGATGACAGAGATTCTCAAACCGTCATGAACTTCGAAAAAACAGCCAATAAGCAACTCCGAGGAAATAAATCTGTATAGTTGGAATGCACTACTTATAAGGTTGCTGAAACCACTTCGATACCCTACGACCGATTCCGCCCTTGTTGGGGCTCATCAGGTAGGTGCAGTCCCCCGGTTTCCGTCAACCTTGTGTTCTACTTGAAACCAAACTGCACGAACTCAGCGAAATACACTCATTTGCAACCTGATTTGATTTTTTCGAGAGACTCACCTGGAACCTAGCTAAATCTCTCGTTTGTGATGCTCTCAGGCGCCTGAATGTGCTGCATCAGGCCGCCTCAAGTTTCCGTTGAGATATCGCGATATATTTATATTCGTAACGCACTACTCATAAGGTTTCTAAAAATTCGTCGACAGCCCACGACCGGTCTCGCCCTTCTTGGGGGCCATCAGGTAGACGCAGTCCCCGAGTTCCCATCAACTTTGTGTTCTATTTAAGACCAAATTGCACGAAATTAGCGAAATACACTCATTCGCAAACTAACTTGGTTTCCCACGAGACTCACCCGGTACCCAACTGAATCTCTCTCGTGCATTCAGTTACCTGGAAACATCACAAACGAGAGATCCAGCTGGGTTCTAGGTGGGTCTCTCAAAAAAAAACGAATTAGTCTGCAAATGAGTATATATTCGCTAAAACTGGATAGGTTACACTGTGAAAAAGACTCTCAGATCGCATGAGATGTCAAAATCATCAACTTAAGAAGAAAGTAGCTGAAATTTTTAGAAAAATCAAGCCCAACCCCAAGAAACACCCCATCAGGCGAAAATTTCAAACAGCCATTAGGACATTCTTACTTCGAAAATTCTTGGTTATTCGCTGGTCTAAACTTTCAGCTTTTATTCATAATTCGTTGTTCAAGGTGAATTGCTGAGTCACGCAAGATTACCAATGCGTTGCCTTGGTTACAAAAATTTTTACTATGTAAAGTTTCTGAATGTGTACTTTATCACTGTGGTGTTTTATTCCGCGGTGGGTTTAGTGAGAATAACTTAGGCCCGATACGAAAACAAAACAGCGGGCCACGAAAAACGAAATAATCTTATGTTCTCAAAAACATGAGAGGCCCAAAATCCTCTCGATTGTGTACTGGTTAACTAATAAACTGAAATTCTCACTCGGGTGTCATGCTTCAAGCGAGGCCTTCTCTCAGAAGACTTCACGACTGACTGGTTCCAGGAAGAAACATTTGACCTTGGACAGATAATATATATGTGAGTTCATACCAAGGTTTTCGACGCAAACAGCTGCCGAACTACTGCAAAACAAGCGGCATTTTTTTCATTTTGATTTACTTGAACTTTTCAGAACGACGCCAAGTGCAACCTTGAAAGGGTTTGAGTGAGTGAGACACCTTCAAAACTGAACCGTCAACTTTTGTGAGTTACTGTGTCCAATGCTTCCACAACGATGCCCATCACGTCCCTAGTTCGTTTGTGACTGCTTTGCATTTAAACGTACCGCGTAAATATTTGCGCTGACTGTGATTGGCTAAGGTGCATCACTGCCAATCAAGTATTTGAAAAACATGATTGGACGGTTCGTCTCATAGCCTTAGTTGGAGCAGGATGACTATCTAATTTATGATGTTCTCAAAAGAAACTGAGTGTACTGAGTAGTGTATTACTTCAATACAGTATACTGCGATACCTCGAATACTGTACCAAGAGCAACATGAGGCGGTCAGGTGCAGCTAATTAAGTTGAGTAAGAATATCATTAACGGGAGATTCAGCTGCGCTTCAGGTGTCTCCCGTCAAAACCAAATTGATATGCAAATGAGTGTATTTGTGGAAATCGCTTAATTTGGGTTCAAGTAGAACATAAAGTTGACGGAATCTCGGGGAGCGTGCGTACCTGTTGAGGCCCAAGAAGGGGGAAACCAGTCGTGGACTGTCGAGGAAATTTCAGCAACCTTTTGAGCAGTACATTACAAGTATGTATGTATCGCGATATCTCGAATTTCGTAGCGACTGCAACATGAGGCGGCGTGGTGCAGCACATTCAGTTGCCCGGAAAACATCAAAACCGAGAGATCCAGGTAGGTTCCAGGGAAGTCGTTCGAGAAACCGACTTTGTTTGCGAATGAGTGTATTTCGCTAATTTCGTGTGATTTGGTTTCAAGTAAAACATAAGGTTGACGGAAACTTGGGGACTGCGCACCAATCTGATGAGCCCCAAGAGAGGCAAAACCGGTCTTGGGCTGTCGAAGAGTTGTCAGCAACCTTGTGAGTAGTATCCTCGAATGTCGTGCCAACTGAAACATGAGGCGGCCTGTGTGCAGCACATTCAGTTGTCGAGTATCATAAACGAGAGGTTCAATTGAGTCCCTCTTAAAAACCAAATTGATTTGCAAATGAGTGTATTTCTCGAAAACAATCCAACTTCGGTTCAAGTGGAACACAAGGTTGACGGAAACTCGGGAACTGCGCCTACCTGATGAGCCCCAAGAAGGGCGAAACAGGTCTTGGGCTGTCAAAGAGTTTTCAGCAACCCTGAGAGTAGTTTGTCTACCGTCTATCATTTGTCTGTCACTTCAACGCTACCAGCTCTTCACGATGGAGTGATCTTATCACCTGCTATGCAACTATCAAATTAACTATTGAACTGATGTTTAATCCAGGCCATATTAGTCAGAGTGAAACGTTATTCTTCAATCAAATAATTGTCAACCAATCAGCGTTGATTTTGAGCGATCGATTATAACGAGACGTTGTTTTGATCGCACAATCTAAGTCACGCTAGGCTTTTTTCCAGGATAGATGCTAAGAATGTCCACTTTGAAGAACTGTAGAAATTTAAGAAAGACCTCGTTTGACTACATCCAGATACGTCCCTACTCCAGCAAGTCACGGGATGCCCGAAATACTTAAGTAGGTCAAAAAACTTTCATCAGTAGATCAAATAAATTGGAACCGGTTAGGCAAAACTGATGGGGGAAACTTCAGATTCCGCTTGAAAAACCCGCATAAACAGGGAAATAATGCATGCCACAAGGAGGTGAAAGTGTACCACCAGATGCTGTGATAGGGAAACGTTTCCCATTTTACTAATTTTTGAAGGGAGAAACAGAGTCGAGTTGATTCCTCTGGGTCATATCTCTAGACTGGAACAAGATTTTGTTCTCGTCACCCATCTTCTAAGCAGGTGGTTTGGATACGACTGGAAAAAATCAGACGCAAAAAGTGATATTCATTTGGAGGGAGACATTGGGAACACTTCCAGCGGTACTGATTCTCAAGTTTTCACACTCCTGCAGATGAAGGAATCAAAACCACCCGACCTGTGCGTGCGCTTTGTTTTGTACTCTCGAACAGTCGTTCCCCGCTGTTTGAAGGACCTTGAAGAAATCAAGGTAAACGATTGAATATAGCCATTCTAGAACTTACTGTACTCTCCACTCTAGAGTGAGTCCCATACACTGGGGCTCTCCAATTCTCTCTACGATTTCGGGAATATTTAAAAAACATGTATAATGATTACCTGTTTTTTGAATTTCGTTCAGCGTTCCCAACGCCTTGATGCCCTTAACCTTCAGCGGTGGTATCTGACGATCTGGTATATCGCGGGTGAACCATTGGTAGAGTTCCGCTGCCAGTGATGCGTTGTGGAGTCTTCGGTGTGCTGGTGATCTCGCCAGACCTTGGGAGCAGAATCCGATCAGGTTCACGTGATGCAAGTCGGTGTTGGAGTTTTGCGAATCATTCGGCTCGTTTCCAGATCCGGTGCAGGCAGCCGGCATGAGAGACAAAACCGAATGGAGTTCCCTTCGGCCACGACATAAATTGGCCACCAAACGTGCATTGTGCTGAGATGCCGCGGGTTCCAGTTCACCTCCCGGACCGAAGTTGAAGTAAAAGTCTTAAAGCAAACAGAGGGGGTAACATTCGTAATTCTGATGAGTTATACGTCAGATTTACTGATAACCAGTAATATACTTGTGACCTGAGAACTGAGCTTCACTGCTTGTGAATGGACCTCCTTTCCGTTATAAATAAATGCCAGTGAATGAGAACCAAAACCAGTTTTCTATGTTACCCAGAAGTTACTCAGAAGTTTGCTGAAATCCCTTCGAACCGGTTCAGCCATTCTTTGAGCTCATCAGGTAAGAAAACCATAAATGAGAAATTCAGCTGAACATGCTGTGGAAACCAAGTTGGTGTGCAAGTGGGTATAGTTCGCTAAATCAATTTTAGTTGAAATTCCTGGTTTTCAAATAAAACTGGCGTGGTCCAAAGGCAGCCGACCCGGAAACATCAGAAAAACTCCATTATTCAACCGGGCAAATGCAGAGGCGGCAATCTAAGGGGGCATCACCGGTTTCAGTCGAAAGATCCCAGAAACTTATCTGTATTGCTACGCTCACAACGGAACATATGACCTGAAATCATCTCCTTTTATGTCATGACTGGCTTGATATGGCATAACACTGCCTTGGTGAAAACTGTTAGCGGTCCTAGACGTAACAGACTACTGGTAAGGTTGCTGAAATCTCTTGGATAGCCCACGACCGGTTTTGTCCCTCTTAGGAAGCATCAGAGAGGCGCAGTCCACGAGTTTCCTTCAACTTCATGTTAGCAGTCTTGTTTTGGTTTTAAGAGGTTCTTTTTCCGACTAAAGATGAGCTGAGCTGTGTCAGAGAGCAGGTTTGGAGCAGCTGATTACGATGGTTATCGGGCTCGATCGCATACTGCTATGCATCGGCAGATGCAATAAAATGGTGTCTTTAAAAACGAATGCCTGTGACAGGACGGTCAAAAAGAGTCTTAAATCAATTATACACAAATCCAGTGTAACTGAGGACGGTGGAAATCGATAATCAAGATGTGGAAGTTTTTGTAATATACTACTCATAAGGTTGCTGAAAACCTGTCGACAGCCCACGACCGGTTTCGCCCTATTAGGGGCTCATCAGGTTTACGCAGTCCTTGGGTTCCGTCAATCGTATGTTCTACTTGAAACCAAATTTCACTAAATTAGCGAATATACAATCATTTGCAAACTAATTTGTTTTTTTTGCCTGAGAACACCACAAACGAGAGACTCAGCTCAGTTCCGGGTGAGTCTCTCGAAAAACTAAATGAGTTTGCAAATGAGTGTATATTCACTAAGATGTGGAAGTGTTTTTTCCTCAGTTGATGTCACTGGACACGTGGATGTTTTCCTCACAACCTCCGGGCTAGTACTTAGTGTCCGTAACGCGCCACCCCCAAATGCTGATCAGAAGGTAGCAACGCTCATCAGCCATTTACAAAGTTTGCATAAAGTTGCCAGGTTTGCATGGAACCTTCGAGTGATTAATTCGCAAGTTTAAAGTTTACACCACTTCTCACCCTCCTGTAGGAGGTTTTTTAGACCGGATTTGCACGATAGATGGATAACAGTTCAATAACACAACAAAAAGAGAGTTACCCCGTACTTGTCAAGAACAGTTCTTCCCTGGATGGAAAGCCCATTTGATGAGATTGACTCGTTTGATTTCAAAGATCATGTCCGGGGAACATGTAGGTTGGGAATCGCTTTGGGGCACGTTAGTTTTACAGGGTTGTATTCGCCAATGAAGAAGGTAACCTGATTCATGATGCAGTGGTCTTCAGAGTTAAGTGACCTAGATCGACCCACCGTTTAGTCGGCGCGCGAAGTTGTTTGCGGTCGAGTGGCATGTGTTCGCTCTGAATTTTTTCCGCTTTCAAAGTACCAGCTTCACCACCAAACATCTGCTTTCTAATTGCCTCGCCACGAAATTGTTGATAACATCCGTCACCAGCAACGCATCAGAGGCATCGATGTTCAAAAACCTGAAGGCGCATTATTACATCGTCTGTCCGCAAAGACCGTGCTTCATAATCATAAAACAATAGAACCCTTACTGTGGCCCGGTACCTGCACACTTTAATACAAGTGATGTGCCTTTTCGAGGCCAAAAGTGACACACATGAACAGACGTGATTCGCGCCTTTAGGATTCATTCACTGACTTTATCAGACACCCATCGGAGCTCCAAAAACTACCGAGATATCTAAAATTCTCTGTAACCTCCTGTGATTCTCTCTGAATTGTAAGGGTTATGTTCAGAGACTGTAGGTTCTCAAGCAGGACTTTGCACGTTGAAGGTGCATGGCGCATGTCGAAAGATGGCATCAAGGTGGGCTTGTGCTTTGGTCTTCATAGATAAGGGCGATGTCATCTGCGTATTCCGGATCGACAAGGCTTTCACCAGCAATAATCTGAACTCCGGAGTTTTGAAGGCCTTCCAGCGTTCTCCCATTATTTCATCAGTGATGAAGACAAACGATAATGGAGAGAGTGGGCATCCTTATCGAGCACCACTTTTCTAGAGAAGCTTTTGTAGAGCTCTCCATACACTCTCATCCGCCCAGAAGTATGTGAATATAGGGGTCGGACTGACTACAAACATCCAGGCCATACCTTGTTTATTAGGAGAACCGGCTCCGAACGTAACAGGACTACACAACAGTCAATAACCGTTTTCTCTGAGGCAGACTAAATTGGTTGGTATTCCCTTTCCCTTGACAGAAAAGTTCTATTTTTAGTATAACCTTTTGGCCCGCCTAGAGCAGCCCGTTTTCGGCTGCACATGACGCGCCTGTACGCGTCAGTGTTCAATAGATCAGCTGATTCGCACGTTCATTGGCTATTCTGGCATGGCCTAAGCTGATTGGTCTATCAAGCGACTATCCAGAATCACGTTCACGGTATTAAGAAGGCACTAGGAAAACTGTGATCCACAACACTGTTGAGCATGTGTAGTTAACAGCACTGGGAGATCGACAGAATCAAACGCACTTTTAAAATCAAGGAGTATCAAGAATGTGGGCCATCTGTAAATTCAATTGAAGATGGACATGATAAGTTACAGATTCAGCTGGATTCCTTCAAAACAAATTCCTGTGCACCTTAGTGTATTTCGCAACGATAGATGAACTGATAACAATCCATAGGTTGCGCTGGCTTGGCCACGTGCTCCGTATGCCAGTCGATCGACTTCCTTTTTACAGGACCCCGCAAAGGGTGGAAACGAGCCAGGGGAGGTCAAAAAGCGCCTGGGCAGCGAAGTGTGAGAGCAATTACCAGCAAACTCAGTTGCTCCGGCTTCTTGCCGTCCCCCTGGATGGGGACATCGAGGCAGGACATATCGATGATTAGAGACATTGTCATACATGGCATAGTCGCCCTCACTGGGGCTCGGTCCTCGAAGCTATTGCCTTCGATGCACAGCTCCCCTCCCAACCCCCCACTTAAAAGTCCACTGACAGCGCTGTATTTACGCACCAATTTACCAGCACTCACCTTCAATGCGCAGCCGCTTACCCCACCTTCCTAATTCATCGGTGGGCGAAACTGTGGCAGCCACAACTACTGTACGACAATTACGCGGTTCTGACAGCTGATATTGACTATTTCACAAATATTGCAGTTTTTTTACGGAGAACGACATTCATATTACTTGATGGGAATTCGAGAAAGCCGCCCCAGTGGCGCGTCAAGTTATCCGCCATATTTTCTGTCTCAATTAATGTTGGGTGGCTATGTAAACAGCAGCCGTCATTGTTACAGCCTAGGTCAACCTTTAGGGGGCGAGATCGCTCATTGGTTAGAGTGTGAATTTACTGACCGGAAGGTCCGTGGTTCGAACCGGACCTCTGCATCGTGACTTCTCCTGTTTAGGGTTGGACATTCTGGCAGTATCCCAGCCCTTGTGTTTCCTGCGGATGGCGTGACAGCTAGGCACCCAAAGGGGCTACAGCTACTACTATTACTACTTATTACTTATTTCAAAAACAAAAAAGTGAAAAATCTGAACGATGCTGGGTATGTGATTGCTACCTATTTAAATTTGAATGCATGTGGCAATTTGCAAAGCCCAACAGTTGGGGGAACCACATTTAGACTCGGTTAGAAAAGGTCGCACAAGATCCAAAGATCTCACCAATCTTATACATCGAAACAAGAAATTACCAGACTTTATTTTGTAACGTAGTTAGTACCTTCAGCTGGAGCTTGGTCTGGTCGATAAAAATGGAATGCCAACGCCAACAAATTAGCCATTGCCAGTCCACGAAGAAAGCGATCTGCGGACTCGTCCAGAGAATCTGGGGTCATCGTCACGGGATCAGAGGATACTGAGCCAGCAGTGGAATCCAACAGATGAGAGGCCAGCCACTTTGAACAATCCTTTGGTGAAAAGTAAATCGTAGAAGAGCAGTTGATGAAGAAACCATTCATTATCGAGCACATTTAATCATTCAATCGCTACGTGTCATATCGGTTTGCGCAGATAGGACAGAAACAGGTCGGATAAGCACCTGTCTTCTTTGGGAAGGGATTCAACTTATCAGAGGATTTCTTGTGATACAGTGACGAGCCAAAACCGCTGGATAACCCACTACTGGTTTCGTTTTTAAAGGTTCATCAGTGGCAAATGCAATCCAGGTGAGTCTTTCGCAAAACCTAATTGGTTTGCAAATGAGTGCATACTCGATAATTTCGTGCAATTTGGGTTCAAGCAGAACATAAGGTTGACGGAAACTCGGGGACTGCGCCTCAAGAAGGACGAAACCGGTCGTGGGCTGTCAACGAATTTTCAGCAACCTTATGAGTAGTGCGTTAGGAATATACATGTAGCGCGATATCTCAACTGAAACATGAGGCGGCCTGGTACAGCACATTCAGTTGCCTGGAACATCACAGAGAGATTCAGCTGGGTTTCAGGTGAGTCTTTCGCAAGACCAAATTAGTTTGAAATCTACCTCATTTCTAACGTATGCGCCATACTGTGCCTGACCGACGTTAGGCACTACTTTTCAAATTCATTCGTCCGTTTGCAACTGGGTGCATAATTTCACCTACAAACTATCGAATTTGAAGCAAAGTTTGATCAAAGTTTTGTGACCACATCCGCCCGATGGGTTACAGAAAGGACGAAAGCGGATGCTAGCTTGTTGGGAGTTTCTATCAACTGTCTAGACAGTTCCTGAGATATATCGAATATCTTTCTAAGTGAAACGTCAGGTGGCCTTATGTGACACACTTGGTTGGTAGACATGGTAACAGAGAGATTCTCCTTAGATTGATTTGAGTTTCCGGTCAACACCAATTTGGTTTTTCAATGACCGCTTTCGTTCGAATTCCCTTACTTCCCGATCCTGTTGGTGCCAGCGGGAGATCTTTTGTTTATGACATTTCTCAGATGGATTTTCCGCGTGGAGACCGTCTCGTGTTTCAGACAACAAGCTTATGGGCATCCCCATTAAAATGTGTCAGCGCTTGTTTCCTGAAATGGTGGAAGTATTCTAGATGTATCCCATGGTTACATCTTGGTTCTCATGAGACGCCACTAAGAAGAACTTGGTTGAAAGGATGGCAGATAAATACTTTCATATTCCGAGAGCACAGCCCATTTGACACGCGGAATTTGTCACAGACCTCAAAAGATATGTGACCGACGTTTCCTTCGGACAACCGTGTGAGAATGAATATCTTTGGAGCCTCAAGTAGAACATGAGGTTGACGAAAACTCGACGACTGCGCCTACCTGATGAGCCCCAAAAAGGACGAAACCGGTGGGCGGGCTATAGAAGAGTTTTCAGCAACCTTGTGAGTAGTTTCGTTTATCCTTGGAAGTACTTACCATGATCCCCAGGAGACTGACAGTCCGTGCGGCGACAACAACGAGCCAGAATAGGGCACCGTCCGCCCCGTGGAGCAGGTGTAATGATGGGGAATCGACCTTGCGACCAATGACAGTGCTGATGAAAGGACAAAAGCGGAATTATTCTCGGGTTCGATAGAGTACAGTGCAGGCATTCGTAAGAAATATGCCTGAAAGACTTCAAAAGTGTGACAGTTGACTGAAGACAGCAATTGGATACAGGAAACAAAAGGGCGTCAGGGAGGCCGTCGCCGAGGGGGACACCTTCAGCTCGCCTGTCTTTTCAGTTCAACAAACATTTTCGGCCAGTGAGAGGTCAATTGTCAGCAAGATTAACGGTTTATAAATTAATCTTCCACAAAAAATGTGCAGTCAAGAAGCTTCGTTAGACAGTAAATGCCACATCACCTTTATAACTATTCCATCCTACTTCGGAGTTTATTAAAGGACAGGCAACACACTTTGTTTGTTTGTTTACTCAAACTAAACTTCGTCTGTCCAAGATTCTTGCAATTCTATGAGATGACTGACGGACCCTGATTCTTATCAAACTTTTGCAGGATAATGCTGAATAATTTGAGCCTCCTGTGCCAAAAAAATCCGACTGACAGGCGAAGTAAATATTTTGAGGACTTCTTCTCTGATTTTCAGGCTTCACTCTGGCTCTGCGTTGTCAGTTTCACTCACCAATCAGCAACAGGGTCTAGCTTAGTCGCTGATGACCATGTGAGCTTCTTGGATCACCAAACATTTCATCGCCTTGATTACTCAAGTCGTGTATCTCTCCTTGCGCTGTCGTTCCTCCCTAATTCCTAAGCCTGGATGCTCACTCACTGAAAACCACGACCCCTTCTGGTGGTGTTGGATTTTCGAATTTCGTTAGGCGTCTTCGTCTTGTGGAAGACAGCGTCCTTTTAATGTGTTGTGCTGAAGCCCTGCAGCTAACAATTCAGTTTTCCAGTTGAAATTTCCGCCTTTCAGTGAAGCTCATCTAGGATGTGAAACTGAGAATTAATACGCGGCTTCTCTACCCTTATCGGGAATCTTTCGCAGTGCACGTCTCACGAAACTCCAGTGGGAGTCTTCAAACCAACGTCCTTCCGGCAAGTGGTTAAACTCCTATTTGTTTGGCCACGAGTTGTTAAACTGTAGTGTGATTAGCACTCACTTAGATAGGACATAGTGTCGGTCATTCTCCAACCACAGACATCACGTGGTCACATGTATTGATCAGCTCCTCGAGCGACGACTTATCAGATGGAAGTTTCACTCAAACTGTGAAGTTACTTTGCTTCTGAGTTTTACCAGATGCGTACCAAAGACTGCGACAACTTTGTAGTGCTTCTAGGCTTCTCAAACAGCACGAAATTTCACAGGACAGTTATAAAAATAGCAAAAGATATTGACCAGGGCTTCTTTTTGTCTTTTAAAAAATCCCAGTAACGTCAGTATTATGCGTTATTCATTTTTAAATGTCTTTGTGTCCTGGAACGTCCACCATATAAGCTACCGTGGCTCCCCCGGTTTACTTTATTGATTCCTCTCTGAACAGAGGTATTTCAATAATTCAGTGTGATTTTTCTCGACTTTGGCGTGTCTTATTTGAAAGAAGTAAACACTTTTAACTAAGTTTAACTTACCTGGGTTCCCTATGCCTGCATTTGGTTGACCTAATGGTTGCCCTTTTTTCTCGTTCAGAGTACACGAAGATTAGACGGTAATGTTCTTTTGTAGTGTCTGTAATCCGTTGTCACATTTACCATTCTTCCTGAACTTGAACCACACTTTGTAACTGTCGTTCACATTGTATCATGACGTTTGTTTTAATGTTACGAATACACAATTTTCCGGCGCGACCTGCTGACTTCTTGCTGAACGACTGTATTTACGCCCGTTGAACTGTTTGTTGACTGTTGAACCAGTGGGACTAAATCTCTGTGTTTGTGTCAACTGTTAAACGTCACAATAAATCCCTGCTACTGAACCTACGCATTCGTGAGTCCCCATTTGACTACTCATTCCTTTCCTATTGTGATTTTTGTGATTTTGCATTGGTTACTTTTGCTTGTTAATTTATCCGAACACGCTGATTAGGTCCTAGTCCGCTACACTTTCCAACTCCTACAAGCCGCAGCTTATCATTCGCGCGTTACACTCATGGTCTTTGCGTGGATTACTAAGCTGAAAAATTAATCCTGTTCGCGACCTACTTTTCGCACCAGCGTTTATTCGTTCACCCACTTTGAGGCTTTCTTCACTCTCCATCTGTTCCAAAGTAAACCTACAACTTCGACACATACACTCACTCATTTGCAAATAAATTTGCTTTTCACGGGAGACTCAATTGAATCCCTCGTCTATGGTGTCCAGCTGAATGTGCTGCACACAGGCCGCCTCATGTTTCAGTTAGTACGATATTCGAAATATCGCAGAATATTTTCATAAAGGAAACTACTCACAAGGTTGCTGAAAACTCGTCGACAACCTATGACCGGTTTCGCCCTTCTTGGGTCTCACCAGGTAGGCGCAGTTCCCGATATTCCGCCAACATTATGTTCTACTTGAACCCAAATTGGACTGCTTTCGAGAAATACACTCATTTGCAAATCAATTTAGTTTTCACAGGAAACTCAAGTGAATCTCTCGTTCGCGTTTGGTCCAATGCGGGTTCAAGTAGAACTCTGTAGTGGAACCTGATGAGCCCAAGAAGGGCAAAACCGGTCGTGGGCAGTTGAAGGGTTTTCAGTAACCTTATGAATAGTTTTTTTACAAATTATTCGAAAACGTAAGACTGACGTCTTAAATTGAATGTGTTGTCCCCTTTTTTGCAAAAGAACTTGCAACACAGCCTCCCATGTGTGAGCATACTCACTCCGCGATTCATACTAAATCTCAGTTTGAGTGATGAAACTTCCTTCAGAAGATGGCCAGGCCTTTTCAGTTTTTATCATGTTATATTTACATTCAATGTATTTAGTCCCCATATTTCACCACCCATTTCCAGGACTATTTAGGAAAAGCATACGTCCGTTTAAGAGTGGCTTGACAGTAGACGGGTACTCGCCAGGGTAGACTCAAAATTGTCCCAGCCTCTCACGTCCAGTTTCACTCTCCTATAGTGGATGAGATTCCCCACCATTGTTATGTAAGCTTCTAATCAGCAAGTTTTTTCATTCAAACTAGAAATGTCTCCAGACGAGTCCTTCCACTTGGCTGATCTTATTTGTGTTTCTGCTTTGCTATCACTTACCGAAATTTTGAAACATATTTGTTTACTGATCTGTCTAGTGGTTAGAGAGCGGATTTACTGACCGGAAGTTCCGGAGTTCGAACCCGACCTCTGTCTCTCGACTTCCCGTCTAGGCTCGGGCAACCTGGCATTATTACAGTCCGTGTGCTTCCCTCGGGCGGCATGGCAGCTAGGCCTGGTTGACCCTATTTCAATATGAACCGATCTTCATCTGATAGGAATTAAAACTNTGTTTGTGTCAACTGTTAAACGTCACAATAAATCCCTGTGACATTTTTTTAGCCGTGAATAATTTTCCTACCGTGGAATATATCACTCACACGGAGCCATCTGCAGGAAATCTCGACGAGTGAATATTTTCCTCTCACAGCCAGTTACTGCATTCGGATCGGTGTAGTGGACTACTGAACCTACGCATTCGTGAGTCCCCATTTGACTACTCATTCCTTTCCTATTGTGATTTTTGTGATTTTGCATTGGTTACTTTTGCTTGTTAATTTATCCGAACACGCTGATTAGGTCCTAGTCCGCTACACTTTCCAACTCCTACAAGCCGCAGCTTATCATTCGCGCGTTACACTCATGGTCTTTGCGTGGATTACTAAGCTGAAAAATTAATCCTGTTCGCGACCTACTTTTCGCACCAGCGTTTATTCGTTCACCCACTTTGAGGCTTTCTTCACTCTCCATCTGTTCCAAAGTAAACCTACAACTTCGACACATACACTCACTCATTTGCAAATAAATTTGCTTTTCACGGGAGACTCAATTGAATCCCTCGTCTATGGTGTCCAGCTGAATGTGCTGCACACAGGCCGCCTCATGTTTCAGTTAGTACGATATTCGAAATATCGCAGAATATTTTCATAAAGGAAACTACTCACAAGGTTGCTGAAAACTCGTCGACAACCTACGACCGGTTTCGCCCTTCTTGGGTCTCACCAGGTAGGCGCAGTTCCCGATATTCCGCCAACATTATGTTCTACTTGAACCCAAATTGGACTGCTTTCGAGAAATACACTCATTTGCAAATCAATTTAGTTTTCACAGGAAACTCAAGTGAATCTCTCGTTCGCGTTTGGTCCAATGCGGGTTCAAGTAGAACTCTGTAGTGGAACCTGATGAGCCCAAGAAGGGCAAAACCGGTCGTGGGCAGTTGAAGGTTTTTCAGTAACCTTATGAATAGTTTTTTTACAAATTATTCGAAAACGTAAGATTGACGTCTTAAATTGAATGTGTTGTCCCCTTTTTTGCAAAAGAACTTGCAACACAGCCTCCCATGTGTGAGCATACTCACTCCGCGATTCATACTAAATCTCAGTTTGAGTGATGAAACTTCCTTCAGAAGATGGCCAGGCCTTTTCAGTTTTTATCATGTTATATTTACATTCAATGTATTTAGTCCCCATATTTCACCACCCATTTCCAGGACTATTTAGGAAAAGCATACGTCCGTTTAAGAGTGGCTTGACAGTAGACGGGTACTCGCCAGGGTAGACTCAAAATTGTCCCAGCCCCTCACGTCCAGTTTCACTCTCCTATAGTGGATGAGATTCCCCACCATTGTTATGTAAGCTTCTAATCAGCAAGTTTTTTCATTCAAACTAGAAATGTCTCCAGACGAGTCCTTCCACTTGGCTGATCTTATTTGTGTTTCTGCTTTGCTATCACTTACCGAAATTTTGAAACATATTTGTTTACTGATCTGTCTAGTGGTTAGAGAGCGGATTTACTGACCGGAAGTTCCGGAGTTCGAACCGACCTCTGTCCTCTCGACTTCCCGTCTAGGCTCGGGCAACCTGGCATTATTACAGTCCGTGTGCTTCCCTCGGGCGGCATGGCAGCTAGGCCTGGTTGACCCTATTTCAATATGAACCGATCTTCATCTGATAGGAATTAAAACTGGATGTACTGTAGTTAAACTAAGACAACGGGCGACAATCCATCGTACGTCAACGTTTCAGAAAGACAGCAATTTTAGATGAGATATTCGGTTTTCCTGATTCCACTTTCGCTTGAACGTTCAGGAATACTGTTCTGTAATGAGTGGATATTTAAGCGACTGTTCTAATGGTGTCCGCTGCTTTTGAGGAATTCTGGGTCATTCGCGGATTTCAAGGTCACTTTGTAAAATCCTGTCGGGGCAAGCCTGTGTTTTCAGATCTTGAAATCCCTCCTCCCCATTAGTTCCGCGAGAGCTGTAGTCTGCAAGGTGACTTTTTGGATGTCGCGTAATCACCAGACTTTGTGAGTGAGGCAGGGGCTATCCTATGGAAGATTCGTGGTTCGAATCCAAACTTGACTCCCCAGCTGTTCTCGCCAAGGTTTGGTCAGCCTGAGAGAAACGCAATCCTAACGCTTCCTTCGGCTTGAAGAGCAACTAAACACATTTATTTCCCAGATGTTTCCGTTTCACAGTGCCAAGAAGACCTAACTGTATCGGGGTAGTTTAGCATAGTTGTATTCGTGAATAAGAGATCCGTCTCCTTTGAAAAGCTTCTTCTGTTAAGGAGCTTTATTGTATAACGATAATACCGGGGCGTAACCGGTATTTGAGCTTTCCTTCTAAAGATCCCATTGTAATTAATAGTGGTATGAGAATGTTTTATAATTTCCATTCAGGATTTCACTCTGCCACGAAGCCTTTTTGAACCGAGAAGCCGAGAAGCAGTGTACAGCTGTTTCCTTGTACTTGTTAACCACCAACTGTGCGCATCTCACGGAGCTCCAGGTAGGCTCGAACCCGCGACCACTCGGCCCCTAGTTTGAACAAGCAGCCGATCAACATCAAGATTAACTCTCACTTAGAATACGCGATGAAATATTTTCTGAGTGTCAGTTAACTATACTCAAATCCCCACTGCTGTCGTTGCGACGTGTACCCAAACATTAACCGTGCCATATCAGCACAAACATTTTGACTTAAAATTGCTCCACTCGGTGCCAAGATATAGACGTAATACACTACTCATAAGGTTGCTGAAAACACTTCGACAGCCCACGACCGGCTACGCCTTTCTTGGGGTCCATCAGATAGGCACAGCTATCGAGTTTCCGTCAACCTCAAGTTCTAACTGAACCCAAATCGGACAGATTTCCACAGATACACTCATTTGCATACCAGTTTGGTTTTGACGAGAGACTCACCTAGAACTTAGCTGAATTTCTCGTCTATGATGAGTATATAACCGGAATTTCGGGAGACATGGGTTTCAGTGAAACATGAGATTGACGGAAACTCGGGGACTTTGCCTACCTGATGAAAACCCAAGGGGTGACACAGGTCGAAGGCTGTCGAATAGTCTTCAGCGACCTTGCGAGTAGTGTATTACCTCTATGAAATATATCGCGATATCTGGAATATCGTACTAAATGAAACATGAGGCGGCCTTACGCAGCACATTCAGCTGAGTAGGATCAACGTAAACAGCTTGATTCCAGGTGAGTCCTTCGTCAAAGCCATATTGGTGTGCAGGTGAGTGTAAAAGCCGGTTACAAGGTCTTCTATCCTAGGCCCGACTATTTACGCTAAAGAGCGATCGTAAACCACAGATTTAGCTCTAGATGACAGCCCCTCGTGCCGGAGGTTTAAGGGAGATCGCCGTTTTGAGACTTTTATGAGGCACGCACTGCTGACGAATCCAAATCGGGATGAAACACCCGTACACTACTTTCCAGCTTTTTACCGCAGACCGGCTTCATTTACAGGACCAAATCTCCATTAGCAATCTCCCTTCGTTTGGTCGACGTCACTCAATACCTTTTCCACTAAATCGTTTTGGTCGATATACAAGCTGACGGGTCCAACTAGAGGAGCGCAAGGCAACATTTTGAAAAGACTCACCTTAATGAACTGCAGAGACTTTGTTGAGTAACCACTTGTGACAGATAAATGCGCTGTAAAACTTCTGCAGTGGCGACGTGTCCGGCCAACCATATCAGATTGTAAAATAGGGCTTCCTTGTTTGTACCTCCCGGGACACGCATGAGATCGGTGGCAGTAACCGGGCGTGTGTGTAAGCCTTGGTCACATTCCGTCCCTCCTCCGGTCATACGTTTGGACTGTCGCGTCGCCTGATCATCCAAAATGGACGGATCTAACATGACCTTTCGGCCGTCGGACAAAAACGCCAGTTCATCCAGCAGCGTCTGAAACTCTACGTGGATTTCGAAATGGACGGAAAGTGTCAGGAATGTACTTTTAGAATGGGTCAGAAAGACTGTCAGAACTTTTTAATCAGACCTTTAATGCGAAGAAAAAGAGGCTAGGCCTTCAAAAGCCTCTGTGCCCAAAAAATCTGAGCTACTGTCCAAAAAACGTGAAATTTTCGAGCGAGACAAGTAAATCCTGTGTGATTAGTCCCCGAGGCGCCCCTTTCTTGCGTTAGTTCACTAGCGTCGCAAGACGCCTGAACTACTTCGAACTTCGTTTACATAAATTGGTGAGCCAATCGCTTTATGGTTATAACTTCACTATGGCTATTCATGGCAAAAAACCTATCACTCTTTATTTTGAAATGGTTTGCAAAATTATTCATGCGAACGGGGCTAGCTTATGAACTAACATGTGTGATTTCAGTATAGAGGTCAGGTAAAATGGACTGCAGAACAGCGGTTCTCCGGCATGAGTGGCTACAAAAATGTGTCGGGGTATTTTGATACCGGTGAAAGGAAGGAATCCCTTTGCCGCGGAGTTACGCACTAAAAAACACCAACTAAACAGTTAAAGACTACTGGACAGGAAAGCAAGACTCTCATATGCATCGGATTTATAAAAACTGCATATCCGTCTTTTTATTGAACGCGCTTTCCTGAACGTTCCTGAATATTCATTGAATATCACTCAGTTGTAAACAAATGCTGCAAAGCAGTTCCATAAATTCGGTAATAAACCCCACCTTCCACTAGATCAAGCCGGAAAACCACGTCCTACTCGCATGCCTCAACAGTAGCGTTCACCTTTACGCTAGTGGCTGTATGAATATTTTCCGATCAATTATTTACTTAACTGATGTGTTTAAGTGAACGGTACACATGGGGCCGACTAGTACTCATTCACGGTTGCGATTTTTCGTGGCACCGGTGTAATGTGCTATTACATGTCTTCACGCGCTGCACCTCTTTCAGCAATTCAGTAGTATTTTAAAGCCGGAAGAGCTGCGAGGAATAGGAGGTCAAGCCGATCGTCACCGTGTAGCTTATAAGCCGCTGATGGACATCAAAACTGCGCTGAGCTGTTTGTAAGCGCCACCGCCAATAGCAACAGATATGTGAGAACATCAGAGCGAAATGTCTTACAGTCATGTGGTTCCACTTAGATGAAGCTTTGAAATAAAAGAAAGAAGAATTGGAAACGAAAGGGACCAAGATGTAGGAGGTGGCCAAATCCTCAAAAAGCCCATTCATAATATTACGGCGTTAATGATATTGGCTGGCTATCATACAACTCATCATCTTCAGTCGGACCTTGGCAGCGTCACAGGAACTCAATACAGAAAGCTCAGGACATCAGTGGCATGTCAAAAGCATACTCTGCATATTACTTGGTTTGTGTGACTATACAGTTTGCTTGAAGTCCCCCTGTACAGTTCCCCACGCTGTAAATGGGGGGAGTTGATTTAACCAGAAATGGGACAAAATCTGAGCTAAAAACTACAACAAACTTGTAGGAGCAATTTCCGGACATCTAATCTCTACTTGGAATACAAGTGTATCAAAGGAAATTAGAGTGGTTCAAAAAACGTTCGAGAAATACACTCATTTGCAAATCAATTTGGTTTTCACAAGAGACTAGTCTGAATCTCTTGTTTAGTCCCATTCAGGTTCAAGTATAACATAAGGTTGACACGAAATCGAGGACTGTGCCTACTTGATAAGCCCCAAGAAGGGCAAAATCGGTCGTGGGTTGTCGAAGGGTTTTCAGCGAACTTGTGAGCAGTTTCCTCCATGAAAATATACTGCGATATCTCGAATATCGTGCCAACTGAATCGTGAAGTGGCCTGTGTGCAGCACATTCAGTTGTAGAACAGCATAAACGAGCGATTCATTTGAGTCCCTCTTAAAAACCAAATTGATTTGCAAATGAGTGTATTTCTCGAACGTTTTCTGAACCACTCTAATTTCCTTTGATACACTTGTATTCCAAGTAGAGATTAGATGTCCGGAAATTGCTCCTACAAGTTTGTTGTAAAGGGCGAAACCGGCCGTGGGCTGTCGAAGAGTTTTCAGCAACCCTGAGAGTAGTTTCCTTTTTGAACATTGCTTCTTTATTCCTGGTCTATGGTTGGATTTGGGACAATGTGGACACCCAAGCCCTGAATTCTGCGTTAAAATGTGACAACGTCCCTGCCTAAGGCGTTTAGATGCGCTACCCGCTATTGATTACAGCGGACTCGAGTGAATTCAAGTATGCGCAGCAGCCTTGAGTCCTCTGTCATCAAACATCCGTCTCGGCAGCTGTGGATCAAAGATACCACTGAAGCACGCTGGACCTAGATGCGACATCCTAAAAGTAAAACCACTTTTACCTATTTTTGGAACCATCAGTCATGATAACCTTCAGAGAGTTGGCCCCAACATAGCCTTTTCGAGACTTCTAACCCGCCGGTACAGTCAGTTGAGAAATTTTCATAAGTTTCTTGCGTGAGAAAAGTGTGCAAAGATGTTGCCTGGATTAAACCGGATAAAGCAGTAAATCCGGTCGTTTAGGGCTGGAAAGTATATCAAATGGCCGTGTAGCACCTGCGTTGTGGATGGCTTTTGCAGTCTACTGTTACTCTGTATTTAGGTGCAAGTTATAAAAGATGGGAAGCAAGTTTGGCAAGCTGCGGCATACTTTTTGCAGGATGGAGTGTCCCAAGCTTTCATTGGCGGTTATGCTGATATTGACTTTAACAGTACGTGGGCAGATATCTATGAGCAATAGATCAAAGAGATGGAATACATCGAACGGAGATCGTGTGCTGAGTCCAAACCGATTGGAAGGAAATTCCGCCCTATTTTCCAAAGTGGTGGTTTCAATAACATGGTGGAATTCTGCGCGGGCCTTAGGGAATCTACACATTTGTGCATTTTGGCTCTGGGTAAAAAGTTATTAATTCTGATGTTGAGAGATCAACCTTATATCGATCAAAGGCCACAAATATGCCGCGGAAATGAGGTTGAGAAACGGGCGGTTGGCGTGGTGTACTGCAGGGTCCACGAGCTTGTTCGATGGCTTCACATAGTGGGTGCTTAGTAACCGTTCTTGGGCAACCGGTGGGAGGTCAAATCTTGCCTAGCAACTAGTCATACAAAGGAGCAAATACTGGCCAAAATACAACCTAGACAGAGTTTATGTCGCTGCACGGAAGTATCAACCAAAACTTAGCCAATGAGGAGAACTGCTTGTAAAATGGCAACATTTATGAGGAAGCTTCTCAAAAGTGCTCCAGACTACAGTGGAATGACTAAAGCTGAATACTTTCCGTTTTATGTTAGTCCATGAAGCTGTGAATTTGACACTTGTGTTACTTTGCTTCTAGTTCAATTGCTTTTGGATAGACCATCACTTCAATGTGTTTTTCACTTCTTATTGTTGTAGGCAAACACTGGCACACACTCATGGGGTCAGCTAATCGGATGCAGTGCATGACGCTTGCCAAGAGCCGTAACTTAAGGCTAGGCATCTCTTTTTGGAACAGTAATGTGGGACGATGCGAGCTCCTTTATCTGAGCTCAGGCGAAAAGGGAGATTTCTTGTGAATGTCTGGTCCTTAGATAAATGCCACAATGCTTAGCGCCAAAAGACAACAGCAATTATACAGGTGCAGGTGAGTGCGCCAAATCAGAGCATGAGAAACCAGATGTTGGGACTACTATAGGTTTTGTCTCCAACCCACAAAGTCCCCATAAATTGTTTGCTTACAAAAAATTGCCCGTCGCCATAGCTTCAAAATTTATCCCACCTTTAGTGTTAAAATATGAACCATCACCGGTTCGTCACCAAAATAAACCTTGCTACTGAGGGATCTTTCAGCCATGAGGTCGCACTTTGCGGGTGGTAAGTGCCTAAAATCCGAACCGCATGGCCCCAGAGGCTCGTGAAGCAGTAGGAAAAACAGCCGCAAAATCAGAAACCCGTGTTTTCTCATAAAGAGAACTCAAGTGGTCACAAAATGGACTCGCTCACGGACGGACTTGCATCACAAGCATGCTGGTAAAGAAACGAACCTGAGTCACTGTCCGGGACGTCTACGGGCAATCTATGCAGTATTTATGTGTTTAGTGCTGGCGATGCTGCGCTAAGCGAAGCTCAGATAACAGGATCACCACAAAATATGAGGTCACGACTTAAAACGAACGGTTCTCATTCTACACTGTATACATACACTTTCAGTCAATCCGTCTCACCAGAAAGTTGGATGTTTTCTGATGACTTTAAGCTCTTGAAGGTAGGTGGAAGCAAAAGGAGTTATAGGCCCACCTAAATAAGCTAGCGCAGTGATGTAAAAGATTCCAACCGTCGGTCGAGACTAACAGTTATTCAGTGGTGATGATTAGTCGAGAGGGTGAGATGGCAACGCAAAGCTTAGGATACAAGCCCGTAGCTTGAATGCAGGTCTGGGTTGCTACACGAAGCAACCCTAAGACTGACATTTGGCCGGCGCTGACATGAGCCAAGAGTCTCAAGGTTATTCGGATGTTAAAGAAGAGCTTCTGAGTACGAGCTCCAATGCTCGAAGGAATGGCAAACGCAACGCTCATTTAAATGGTTATTCAGCAACAGCAACTGGCTCAATATCCCTGCCCCAATAACGGAACACAAGTTTTAAAAAAATATGGCCTTGGAACGTCAGTTTTACGTTTTTATAATAAAAAGGGAATTATACGAGAAGGGGTGCCAAACGCTGAATCAGGCTAGCTAAAGCAAATGGGATGCTTACAATCTCTACACCTTTTAATGGGGTAACAGCCTCTGATCAGATAACTACAAAACAATCAATATGTCTCATATTTCATGCATGTTCGTGCAAATATTGCAGGAGATGTGACTGATTAAAGGTGTTATGACAGTGGCTTACCAATTAACTGAAAGTATAGGTTTCTAGTAATAGCTACCAGCTTGTTGAAAGTAGTGCCTAACGAGCCGGAGGTAGCAGACTCTATG